ATTACATGGGCTTCCAAAGGAAGACCATGTCTTAAATTACCGACGTTTTTCGTCTGTGGTATGCTTCAAATTATATCCGGGACCTTTTCATTTTTGACATCTATTGTCTTACTGTCATTCATGTTTCTAAGCAACGATTGAAAGGTCGCCTCGTGCTTCTTCGGACCTTCGTATAGCCGGAAAGCATGTCGAATCTAGGTCATCTAATTGTAGCTTCTACAAATACGCTAGATTCATTTACAAATCCACACACCATTCGCGGCAGCCACACTAAAAAAATTCGAGCGTTTCTCAAAAGGGCATTTGGAGAGATACGGCGAATTTATCGTGAATCTACCGATCGTGAATTATATATCAAACATTAGCTTATCAAATGCTAATTTATACAAGTACAGGCTCTACAATCACCAAGGACTTATCTAAGACATGTCAATAGATTTATACTGAGGAAAAACAGAGGATTGGAAGTATTTTAAGCGAAGAACATGAAAGACTATCGATCTGTGTTTAATACAGCCAAGGATGCGAGTCTTAAAGTAACGTCTCGTCAAACATAAATTACTTCTTTGACAATATTATGAAATTCTACTGAGTACATTGCTTGTTTCATTATTTTTCATTAAAGGAAATCTTCTTTCGCTGTTGTCTTAGTAATATTAATTTCATTAGGGTTCAATATCATTCACTGATTGTGATATACCACAGGAAGCCCATGTAAACGATCGCTGATCGTCTAGTTTTATGAATGTTCTTGTCAGTACAAGGATGACTGGTAGAAAAGTAGATATTGTGGGAAGTTTAATTAACTGCAATGTAGCAACCACATCACTTTCACATATTTAACTGTGGTTTCAGTAAATAGTGAGACAGCTGTTGAAATCAAAGTCACAAATTTGCTATGGTAATTTGGAAACATGGACATTCAAGATCAACAAACAGATAAAATATGACAAATACGTCATGCCATGCCTATTATCATGATGAATGTACTGAATAGGAAATGGCAGTAGTTATTCAAAATGTTGATTATCTTAAATACATAATTCCCAATATTGAAATTGAATACAACTTATTAACATTAATCAAGGCAACTGCAATTCAAAAAACACACACATTTTCCAGCAAAAGAAGCCAAAAGGAGAAAAATGGACAAAAAATTGGTCAAACTGGAGGAAAGTTGCTATCAAAACAAGTTAGTAATATGCCAAAACCTCTTGATTAAACATACATAATAAAGGCAAAAGACTTGGTTTTCAATAACTTTTTTTTTTATTTTTTACAGTATAGTTTACTAAAGTTATTTCATCAATTCATCATATATTTACTCAAAAATGGATGAATGGAGTGTCTACTAAATAGAATATTGGCATTGCAAAACAACATATGCTTGAGAGAATTCTTCTGCATCTCTGGAAAAGGAATTAGCTCAATGAATATGATGCCTATACAGAGTACCTAGACAGTATGGTTAACTTAGCATTCTAAGCATTGTTAGACATTCGAGATGACCTTTTGAGCATCATTTCTTGAAGTGTAAACAAAATAACAAGAAGAAGACTACAAAATTGGCGGTTAAAATATGATAATCTTTTACAGCTGAACGGTTTTTTCAGACTAAATTTGAATGTGAAAACAAAACAAACAAAAAAGATCATATAAAAGATAAAGCAAAACAAAACAACATCCATTCAGGAGAATTTCAAAATTTTAGTAACCTAAAAGGAATGAAAACACGCCTCAAAAAGGAATTATAACAACTTTTACAATAATATTAGGATCAGATGTATTAGTAGTTCAAGTACTAMAGTGTCAAAATAAACTTAATTTTTTGTACATTTTTTTAGGTTAAGGTAGTAGTCAAAACTGCCATGTATACATTAGTGTTTTTTATTAAACCTTTACCGTTATAATTTCAAACTTTTATTTCTTAGAATGTGTCTGAATGATCGGTGTTTGTTGGTGTTCGATTTGCTTGATCTCCGATTCTATGAACTATTTATATAGCCAAGCGTTGCACAGCATAACGGCTGTAGAGGACGCTGTGATTAAATTTACACATTGTAGATGAGAACACATCCTCACATTGATAAAAAGAAKTTTTCAAAAAAGCTTTTATTTTGCCAGGCAAAATGACGCAAACACCCGGGCAATATTTGTAATTTATTCTTCCCCGCTGGCGGTTCAAGAGATCATTGCTTCACTTGTAATATTTCATATTGATTATAGTTATAATCAATAAAAATAAACTACAAATGTTTATTAGTATATATGACTACAATTTTATGATAAAATGTTACAAACGTATTCTTTTAGCAAGAATTGAACTGATTTGAGAAAAAAAGAGGTCGGGGGAAAATAAGCTTATAGTACTTGCTAATGTTTCCCCGCTCAAGTGAACATTCTCAAATATCAACAAAATTCACTTGGAAATTTGAAACTAAAGTATGATTTTAAAGGTAAGACATTATTGAACATGTGTTTTATTTTTGTTCAAAGAAGAGATGATATAAAGGGAACAGATGTTRTTGAGCGGAAACAAACACGAAAAGTCCGTAGATGTAGGTATCGRAAATGATGTGGATATTGAACAGGACGCGTTTGGTTRGCGTCTATACAAACCTTGATGGCAGAATTCATCCAAATTACAGACATTAGGATTTAAAAGACATCCTAAAATAAATCAAAGATTCACTGTCAGAAATAGAAGAAAAATCTAAATAACATTGATTCCTATCGCCCACACATATTACAATGATCGCGAGAGACTTAAACGAAAATGGTGTTTTGACTTACCGGCGCTAGAAGCCTTCGTCAACTGAACATAGTGTACAATCAGAAATGATAGGATGAAAATATGTTTTATAATGTTTCTATCCATAGGTCTGCCATGGGTTTTACAAGAAAACCTGACGTTTTGTGGTGAAGACAGTTGACCAGAGTCAGTACAACCACATCGCCATTAGCGACCTCCAAGTTCTTGTTCGATTGAATAGCTTCAAAGTACCCGGATGTTGTCAGAGGAACCGATGTTTGGCGAAGGCCTTTGTTCTATTAACCAATCAAATGGAAGTACATACAACCTAAAACTATACCTTAACAATTTTTATAAGGTCATTTCGGACTTTTCGCGAGATTAMTTTTTGCTTTGATGCTTTAGTAAGTTAAGGTACAAAATAATTTTAAACATGAAAATTTTGTTCATATATCTGTCATATTTTTTTCGTGTTAAAAGCGTACTATTAGAAAAGCGGCATACGACTTACAGTAAATCATAAAAAAATACATAAAATAGAAGAATATGTGAAAATATAAAATAAAATGAGAGAGGAARAGATTGACTATAAAACCTTTTCCGTGGTTGTGCGTCAGAATCATATCAACCCACGCACTGGGTACAACTTATACGGAATATTTAGACCGCAACATAGTTTCTGACGGAGAAACTTCCAGTTGGGGGCTTTTAAATATAAATATTCGATCTTAAGATAATATTAATAAATAGATTATCACMTTTTGTTATTTTGGCTGTACACTCAAGGGACAAAATATATGAAAGGTATCGCAACTAAATACTAACCGTTTACTGCCTCCTGTCTTGCAAGAGTAGCAATGTTGTAGTCCTGTGAACAAACAAATGAGACTATTGTTTTAAGTCATCAGTGACATATAGAATAGAGTGTCTTTCATAGGACTGTGACAGACTGTGAAACAATTACTAATTGTAGCCATTCAATAGTTTCTCAACAAAGGAAAACAATTTCTTTTATGGGATTAGACTTCACCGTCTATTAGCTGGGTAACTGTATCACACAGTGAAAACCACTCTACTCGGCTATTCATCTGTTTCTACTTCAGCTACTCGAGAGAAAAGTAGGAAAAAGAGAGATGGAATATATAAAATATAAAGCTATATTCTTGGTCATATCATTAAAAATCGATTAWYAAGCATTGTTGAAATAGTTATATTTTTCTCATTCTGGTTTACTAAGCTTATTTGAGTTTGTTGGTTCTTTSCATGTTTTTTACAGTATGGCAATATTTATATCCTCGTACGCCTACTACTACAAAATGGAGCATAGCAAAAAAAAGTCATGACGCTGGCACCTGTGATTCATCACTTAATGAAACAAAAGGTTAACGGGATCACTGTGTTGAAATTTATTCATACCTTGAATCCGAAATACCATTTTTTGCTTCTCGTCGAAAGGATATTAATATTAAAACCATAAGTTGCAATCGCGGCACCCGTTTTTTTCTCGGCTTTGCATATATTATTGTCCGTCATGCAGTTCAGTCGTCTGTTTTTTTCCGTATTGACTATTGAATGTTTTTAGTGATCTCGATCCCAAAACTGAGCTGGGCAAAATATATCCGATACGAAAAAAATCCGAAAAATTGAAGCGCTTCAGTACCTGACTAGAATCCGAAAACGTTCGACGTCTGTGTGGCATCAACATGTGCAAACGTGTAAAACACAGTTTACCGGCAGGAAGCASCGGCAAGCAGACTTCCGCAAAAACAAGGATTTACTTTAAAAAAATATCCACAATGAATTTTTTACATTGGGCGATTACATTGGTTAGCGCTATGCACTCTATAAAAATATTCCTTGATGATTCCCTCATCTTTCGTTTTTCAGCACAAAAACATTTAAGCTCCGCAGTTAACCCATTTATGTGGAAAATTACTCGCCACGCCCTCCACCTCGCTTCGCGATGTAGCACTGATAAATCTTTGTTTTGGTAAAAAGCCATAGCAGTACTAAAATTATCAATTATCACCGTTGACTAACCGTTGTAACTGAGCACATGATTACACAACTGTAACAAGTTCACGTTAAATTAATTATAGCACTTCCCAAGCACCCCTTTGGTCTATGTGTTTTATGCTATATTGAACCTGCCCGAAATTTCAAGTTGTATATCACTTTTNGCAATTGTTGTATCTCTTTATATGCAATTACAAACGTAACTCTAAYTATATAAAGCAGACAAATAATACTAAACAAATTTCTTATGGAATACAAAAGAATCATTTATTCATGGACTTAGTTTCCAAAAAAGCAAAAGCTCAGATTCTTGTTGCGATACGCATATAGTGAGTAAGAACAAGTAGTAAATAACGAGTAATATAGAAAATCTAGAAATGCCGATCAACAAGAATAAGACTKTGAATATAAAAATATACTGATTTATAACGAGGACAAGGTTCAAAATATGATATGCGAATACATCGAGTCGGTCATCTAACGTACGTTTTCCTGRTTTTTTCGGGAACGAAAATGGGCCTCCCCCGCTGCCATTTCCAAATGGGGTTCGATGAAGAAATATCAGTCTCAGAGTGCGTTGGTAAAATTTCACTAAAACTCGGACAGAGATCACCATCTTTAACGCTTAAGAAGGGAAATGAAGAAAACAAACTCATAAACTTGAAATCTTTGTTCGCTTTCAGAGTTTTTGTCACAGTGGCTTTTTTGGTGTTATATAAGTTATTAGTGGCTTGTTTGGATTTTTTTCCACGCTTGATGGTGCTGCTTACTTTGCTGCTCTTTACTGAACTGTTATTTTTTGSGTTTGGATCGATGACATTTATTTTTGAATTATATCCAACGTGTTGATTCAATTTTTTTCGYATGGTTTTCCGATTTTGTTTGGAATTCKTTCCTTGACCAACCACTTGAATTGCGCTCGCCTCTTCCTTGTCGGAAAACGAATCTTTCCTTCTTTTCTTCCTATGGATCGTCTTCTCGGTGTTTACATCCTGYTTTTTGATTTTCTTATTATTRGATGATGACCATTTCAATCGTTTCTTTGCTTTGCTTGGAGTTGTCGATGTTTTGAATGATTCTGTGTCATCTTGTTCGCTCTTCGTTTCGACTTGCCACACGTTGTTCTGTCTCTTCAAAACCAAAGCAGGAGGCGAGAGACTTTGATTTACAGGCTTATCTTCTTTAGRTTCCAGTCTAGCTTTCTTAAGCTTTTTACATTTGCCTTGTMTAGTAGATGATGGTAAATTACAATTCTTATTAGGACGTTTTTCTTCGCTGTGGTGGTTCGAATTCGTTGACGGTTTGTTGCTTATTAAAGATTCTGCGTAGATTGTTGTTGAAGCGAAACCGCTGTCGTTAGACGAGGCATCAGAAAACAATATTTCTGAATTTGCGTTAGTTAAGCATTGCGACAGCGACGACCCGCATGGATGTTCCGTACTAGAAGAGCAACCATCGACAAGTACCGAAGATCTATTATCAATAACGTTAGCTTTTGTAGTGCATTGCCTCCATGGCGAGCATCGAATGCTTTCTGATTCTTCTTCATTTGCACGCTTCGCCTTTTTATTCTGTCTGTAATTGGCTTTGGTAAAACTGTCCTCTAGCGAGTCTTTGGCTTTTCTTTTCTTCTTTTCTTTAACACATCGACTACGAAGTGTTTGTGTGCCGTTTAACACATGTTCTGCTAGAGCAGAAAGCGAGCTAGGATGTTCATTGAATTCACTCTCAGAACACTCATCGAGCAATTTCGAATGATTGCCTTCATGCGTGGTTTTAACTACCCAGGGGACTTCTGCTTTGGCTTTATTATTAAACTTTTGTTTGGCGATAGAAGCTTTCTTTCCCTTCAACGACTTGAAAGCCTTATCGCTTTCGACGTTACTGCTATTTGTCGACTTTCCTTCGTTGTCCTTAACTGTTGAATTGCTGCTGTTTTCTGTGCCACCTTTGTCTTGTTTATTGTCCTTGGTCTTTGATACGTTATTTACTGTCTTGGTTCGCCTGATGCTGGTAGAAAATAGTTTAATGTCCACTGTACGGTCAATGTATACAGCACAATATTTCTMGACATCTGCTTCAGGGATTAGTGTGCAAATAGCCGACGAACCATGGATCCCATTCACTGTTTTAAGCAGTTTTATTTCTTCTGCAGTGCAAAAATGTCTTCGAGTGTTGATCTTTTCCATTCTGGTGAATAACGTCGTCCTGGCTGTGTTGCTAAACAGACTTGCAAGCAACTCTGCTAACGGGAACATCTTCTCTCCATCTATCAAGAGATACGCTAAGTCCGCTTCGCGAAAGATGTGTCGACCACAGTTACTTTGCTGACCCTCACATCTATCCATGATTGACTGACCAACAATGGTCTCTTGCGATTTCAGGCCAGCTCAAATACTAATGTCTTATGTAGATACAATTATAAGATAGCAAATCTTTCGTTGCTGACTGATTTGGCTACAATTCTCGTAGGAGTTGTGGCTGACGATGTATTTCAAGTTTATTGTTTACATACTTTGGATGGTAGTTGGTGTTGGGCAACGTCGTGAGTGGATAGCGAAGAGGGCCGAAAATGGGCTAGTTCATGAGTACCCGAGTACTGACGCTTGTTCCCCTACTARGGACGACGGTGCTCGCTGGAACTATACATATTTTGAAAACTTACCCAAATCTCAAAGCACGCCTCGTTTGCCGCTCAGGTCAATAGCAGGTAAACTTGATATGTGATTGGTCGACAAGATGAGACGGACATACGATTGGTTGAGAGGTGTCGATGTTGTTATCAACCGTGTATGAACGGTGGTCTCCGACAGTCCTAAGTTTCTCTCCAGCTAACTAGTAACTTTTTGGTTTCGTTAATCATTGTTTTTCATGAACATTATTCATCATCTTATAATCTTGAAAGTATAATTTTTGATGACATGCTTATCTTTAATGCTGATCCAATTTAACACGAGTTTTGCTATKCTCGTTTCTAAATCCCCTTTTAATTTTCCCACCATTTCTCATAAATTTGCTGTCTTTCGTATGCTGTTTATATTAGTCAATTTTCCAGGGCTTTTATAAGGGCGATTTCGAATCCGTCACACTTGAGAGTTAGCTAACAAAAGCTTGTAGACTATGTTAATCAAAGGTCAAACATTGGCCATGAAGACAATATTTTTGGGCTTGAAAACGTTTTTTTTTTACATTTTAGTTATGGCCTTGATATCTCATTTGAATAGTGTACAATCTGGAGAAAAAAGACATCAAATCTTAAACAGTTCACTTGATTCATGCTATTTTCAAGTGTACCATTGTTGAGGTACTAACGTGAATGAATTATGAGTCATAAACGTTAACAGTACGTTTGAGGCTCAGTTTTCATTTGTARATCAGGTCAGTATAAATAATCACTTCACACGTTTTCTTGATATTATATTAAAGTACAATTTCTGTGTAATAAGGGTTTATTGCAGTTATCGTCCGCAAAAGGTCTTCAGAGTATCATAATTTCAGTCGTGAATTTCACAACCACGACTCTTTAGAACAGTYCTGATCAAAATCTCTTTTTGCTTTTCAGTATCACGAACACAACAAACTTGAATTATACGGAGGATACGAACAACATGACGCTACAACACAAAAAAAGTTTATCTCTATACTGTATAAATTCAAACCYAATTCAGCTGTTAAAATATACAAACTATTGATTGCCACACCATTTAATATAAGGTTCATAAACAAATGGGTCTTCGTTACGACTTAGTATTTAGTCCCAGTTGTTTTTGGTTAATCAGGAAGGATTTGTAATTGTGGRTTCAGTATAAAATGCGGCCTTGCATGCTTAAAAAAATATAAACGAAAAGACAAATTAAAATATTGAATTGATCGCTTAGATATAAGTCTCTCTCTATATTGACGCTGGTACGACGACGTAGGGGATATGATTARTTCAGCATTGGGGAAGCAAAGAAATGTGTCGGTCTTTTACTTGGGTGTTTGCTCTTGCTGCCAAACCTGAAAAAATAAAGTCCCTAAATTAAATTGCGAAGTTAGCGATCACAAAGATACCAAGTCGATTCCAATGACCACATATAATAATAATAATGATATTGGTTTACCTTGGTGTTAAGGGGGTACGAGATAGAAAACTACCCTTCTTCTTCACCGCTGATYATCGTGTCGCAGTTCTTGGAGTCGAAATCGGACCGAGCATGCTTTGCGGAACTGAAAATTAGCAACAGKAAAAGGTTTGAAAAATCATCTTTCATTCAAGAACCAAAACTAAATGATTTTACCTGGTCGGCATTCAGGTGTTAGGGGGGTGCCATCAGAACGATGAGTTTTAGGGTTGAAGGGTGGTGACCGCATATTTTCGATGTCGCTCAAGAACTGGTTCCAGTAATCASAAGGCATTTGCATTAATTTTTCCATGACAACAGGCAAAATTTTGACCTCTCTCAGCATATCTATAGGTTCGACGRTCGGAGCAGAATGACCAARTATCGTAGGTCCAAAGACTTTAGCGAGGTTGGTAACAGGCATTTTGCATTCTGGGCACTGCGARACTCTAAAAAGAAACAAGTAGTAACGTCTTTGAATAAGCGGTTTCGTCTTTTATTTTACACAATATTTTAGAACAAACCTRTGTAGATGTTTTATGATAAATGCTAATGTATCTCTGTTGGCCTGAGGAAGTTCGCTGACTGCCTGGTACAATGCGCTGTTGCTATCGTCGTCAACTTGATTAACTGGAACAAATAAAACAACAACTGACACTCACACTTGCACAATGTTTAATCGGCGATTTTACTGTGAGTGATTCATTCTTGTTATTCGATGATGAAATAGGAAAAAACGTGTGTAAAAATCTTTTCTGATATCGGAACAGCAATGCTTATCGACAAAGAGTTTTTACCTGCTGCATTAGTGAAGGAAGGCCATAGTTTGTATGTAATGATAGGCTCGGCAAGTCCACGAAGGAAGTCTTTCAGCACTCCACAAATAACGTGTATTTCGACGTTTTCGTCATGCTTAAAGAAAACACCCGTGTAATCAATATGTGTTTTAAGATCTTCGGTATTATCGAAGGAAGTGATTTATTGTATGTAACCAAACAGACGAGAAAGTGTCTTTTTTCACTCCCAAAAAATAAAATTTATCTGAAATGGTAAGGTCTAGGTGTAAATCATGCGATAAATACCAGTTTTTGTGTCTTTCCATGAAGAAATTTTTCTTTTAGTTCTTTGATGCTATGTTCAGCACTGTAGCAAAATAAACAGATGAGAAATAAGAACAAATGAATGTGAAAGAAGATAAAACTGAGAAATAAGACTAACACAATTGAGAAGTAAAGTAAAAATGAAAAGGGATAAAATAAAAGGAAGGACAAATAATATGAATGAATTAGAAATAAGATAATCCAAACCTACCCTGGAACACGATATAGTCCAACTTCAGAGAGCCCTCTTTTCTCAATTTCTTGCACACAGTGAACCTAAATAGAGTTGAGTAATATGTTACAATTGGTCTTGAAGACTTTTCACTTTTACYTGGAAACAAAAATGGCAAGTAACAGTTTTTAACAGTCTTTATCCATATATATATATATATATGTAGCAATACACTGCTGCAGTCATTGGATAGATTATGACACTCATAGATTTCTACATACTGTACTTACAAGTATCTCTGGTACCATTGGACTTGTAGATGGGGCATAAAAGTCAATAGTTTCTTCCTAAAGAACCATTGGAAATGATTAGAAATTGGATACGCACTGATACACCAGGTTTTGCAAATCCAAGTTTTGAGATTAATTAGGTTGAACTTACAGGTCTCCTTTGCCCAGAACCAGGGGTGAGATTGGATGGAATACATGGCAATGGAACAACATCTTTACATTCTGGATGGCATACTGCTCTACAATCTATTATTCAACAAATTTACATTCAGATCAGATTGAATAAAAGATGAAGGTAAATGTAATGATCTGAGATAATCATGATTCTCAGAAAATGGAATTAAGGGATTTGTTTAAAGCAAACCTTTACACTTGAGAGCCAACTTCCCAAATTTTATTCTTTTTCCACACTAAAATAGAAAGTAAATATAAACATATGGAAGTCTAAGAGTTACTGAAACTGTTTACAATTTTTTTTACTTACTGGTTGACATGTTTCTGGATAAATGACAGTCTTTGAGCAGAAAACATGAGACTAAAAAAAAAAAAATACAATCAAACAAAGTTATGATCTTATTCTTTACTTAAAACAGCAGTGCTTGAACAACACAACTCCTTTCTAGAGATAATTAGTTACCTTTTTCCTTTTTCCTGTTCTCAATGTATTTGCACCTGCAGATCTGTAAATAATAGTTATAAGTTACGTCAAAGGAGTCAGTTCGTGTTAACTGTAAGTACTCAACTCTTGACACCTCAACACCAAAGATAACTCATAATGGATACTAAACACAGCCAACACAGTTTATTGTTCCTAGAATTATTGTCATTTTTGCCGAAGTTAAAAGTTAACCATGTATGAATACTACCTTAATGTAGGRGTTCTTGTTGGTAATTTAGGGTACAAGTTTGACTTTGGAAGTCCTTCATCTTTGATATCTTCAGCTGTGAACAGAGAAGAATGTTTTCCTCTGGTTGCTAAATATTGCATTTATTCATAAAAAGTATGCAATTCAATTTTCATAGTTTTATGAGAATGGTAGCAGGTTATTTTTCTTACGTCGCACAGTCTTTCTGGGGCTGCTGACAGGATTGACATAGGCAGAGACCTTGACTGGTCCATCAGGACTAACTGTAACTTTGGTAGCAGCAATAACTGTTTCCTTTACCTATTAATATCAAAATGACTTAAGATTACAAAATCCACAGAATTATATTTCAAAGTAACACTAACCACATGATCAATGGATGTCCTGATCTTCTTTGGAGGAGTTTCCTTCATGACAATAAACAATATTATATTAARATTATGATGATTTCTGCAACAATCAGAAAAGCTTTACTGTACATACCGAGAGATCATCAACGCGTGGAGCACTTGGTTCCTATAACACAGCAGAGATTAATCYTTTTTCTCTTGAATATAACTTATTGTTGTTGATGAAATGGATATTCAGTTTGATATAAATATTAATTAATTATATTATTATAACAATAATTAATAATTAATAGCGCAATATTWAATCTTATTTATGATATTGGAAAACATTAGCTTACATTTTGAGGATAGATGTTAGGAGTGTTTRGATGATCAGGTTCATCCTATAAGTTGAAGTTGAGTTATGTCAATCATGCAATCAAACACAATGTACTATATCACAATGTGAGAAAAGAAAGCATCAAAATGCTTATTACAGATAACAGCAAATAAACTTCCCCCATTGTAGTAATTATTATTATTATCATCAAAATATGGAAATTTCCAAAGTAAAACTCACAAGATCATCAGCTGTTGTGTCATAACTTATGTCAGASGGTGAAAGAATGGAAGCTGATGACTGATCAATACCATAAGGTCTCTTTCTTGGGCTGCGCACATCGTCTGCCTGCATGTGACTAACTTGTATTGACTGCATCAGAGTCTGTCGCTCATTTTCATTAAGACGACTCATGGTGTCTTTGTCAATTAACAGTTCTCTTATCAATGCAACTTGCCGCTCCTATATAAATGAGAAAAAAAATCAACAAGATTTTACACATTACAACAATATCTAAAGATACTCTTTTTCAACAAGGATATGTTTCTGCTTTTTTCTTTTCTTTATTGTTATTTTTTCTAGATCTGACGTCTGCATGAACATTGGTTCCAACATTGGTTRTTCTTATAAAAAAACTACATGATATTGTCTGAAACTCTTACCAAGTGATCTTGTGCTGCCTCAGCCTTCATACGCCTTTTGATTTCAATCTCTATTTGGTTACTGTTAGAAAAGTCGCATTTTTTAGAATTTATCAAAAAAAAACACCCAACTCTAAAGCAGATTCTACACATACCGGGCATGCTTAAGCTTGACATCCAAGGCTTCATTTTTCGCCTGGGAGCATGAATATAACGAATATATATTAATATAACGAATATATGATCATTGCACATGTAAGCTTACTATCTCTGAGCAACGACAAATTGATCCGTCATGGACTTTTACCTTCAACTTTGCTATTTCTTGTTTCAGTTTGACACAATTTGATTCGGTCTCTAGCCATTTTTTTCGACATTCTTCTTGTTGAATTACAAATTTAAGAAACTCTGAAATCAAATAGGTTGATTAGTAATGAAGATCATAATTTAGAAGGAAAATCAATAATAAGATTCCATTTTATCTTCTGTCGATCTTCATGCATGGATTTTTGTTCAAAGCGAACATCAAGGAAAATGAAATTTAAAGTAAACTCTTTTTCTTGAGGTAGTTGCAGTAACGTACTACTAAGTAACTTTAGTAAGATCTAGAATTTGAAAAAATATCAGTAATAAAATGGCGGTTCACGGTTGCCTTACCTCCTTCAATTCCTTCGGTTAAGACTGACGCTGAACGGACAATATCATCAAAACTACCAACCAAAGCTGCCACAGACATCTTCTCTTGTCTCAATCGAGCAACAAGAGGAAAATAATTTAGTTTAGATCGAGCTTAAACACCCTTTTTTAGGCTTCATACGAACAAACTCACACTCAATATCAAAAGCCGATTCGTTTTTTCCCTCCACAACAGTTTAAAYCAGTCTAAGCCAATCACAGCAGAGCTTTCTCACACGTGATGCATTACTGCAAACGAACGCGTATCACAAGACACAGGCACCCCAATATACCCACATAAAGGTTGTTTTCAGGTTTGGTAAAATAATATCACCACCAAGATAAGTCAAAATTATCTTATGCTGTAGTTTTTCATAAGGTTCATATGTGGTTTTCATTACTTTGTAGTGCACGTTTTTKTCTRTTTTCCAGGTCTTCCAGTGCATCACACATTTCACTTTGGTTATTATATTTTGTTTCACAGTACAGGTTAATGAAAACCACTTTATAAATAAATAAATCAAATAAAAAACAGTTAATTAAATTATTTTAAAGTAATTACTTTTACATAAAAGTGTAACAAAACTTCATTTTTAATTCAATAAAAATTTTTTTGAAAAAATGATAGATATTCTATATCTGTACGGGACATACATTGCTACAGGTGATCCTGTTTTTATGAAAACTAATTGTCTAAAAGTTGAACATCCCATACTGGATACAGCTCTGATCTGCAAATAGTACCTTATATTATAATTTATGAATTAATGTACAGGTAAGCTGTTTCATACAATATTTGTTTTTCAAGTATAATTGTACAGAGTTGGTTTTAACAAATAATATCCCATAGTCGGGCTTCAATTCTATGCTCTGAGGAATTATGTTGGGCCAGACAGGTAAACATTTGTCTTATGATAACATAGTAAGAATTGCTGCAGCTCTTTTTTAATCTTCATCATCATCAGAACCAGAACAGTTGTTTGTTCTTAAAGCCTTCAGACAAGGACAACCTAGAATATTAAATCAGCCATTTGACAAAAGACACTTCACAGACTAAATCCATTCACTGCATTTCTAATATTTTGCAAACATATGCACTTTGAATGAATCAGTCAGGCAATGATGCATAAACTTAGTAAACAGCTAGAATACCTGTAAGTAAAACCTGGCAATCAAACGTCACTCTTGTCCAGTCTAAGTTGAGTAATGTTAGTGATGGAAGGTGTAGATTTGCTATTCCTCTGTTTGATACTCTTGTTCTACTCAAGTTTAATTGATTTAGCTTTATACAGTTATTAAGCACACCGTTTAAAAGCATCTGGGTGGTTATGTCTGTGGATGAGAGGCTTAAAATTTGTAGATTTTGAAAATCTGCAAAACAAGGAAATAGGGATTAACGAGAAAATGTTTCTGGATATAATTCTACAAAAACATGTATAATCATATTTCCAAAGGACAAGATGTCACAGGAATATTACATGGTGCACTGTAATMTTTCACATGCGATATAACTTTTTCATTTGGAAGATTGCCTTCCACATAACAAAATTCCCTTTTATATTAACTTCAATGAAATACCAGACCAGATACCAGGAAGAGATATCTTCACATATGAAAATAACACATTGTTATGCATTATCCTCTATGCGTATATCTAAAAATATATTCTATTTAATATAATAAAATTACTTTGAATAACAGCACAACCATCATCAGTCACTTTTGTTCTGTCAAGATTTAGTTCAACAAGATCAACAAGACCTACAAAGAGATCACCAAATCAATGCCTTTGCTATAATAATGAAATAACATTCCACTGTCAAGTTTCAATGTTATGACGTTATGTACCTGATAAACTTCTCAGTCCAACATCAGTGAGTCTTGTGTTACTTAGTGTTAATTTTGTCAAACTGTAAAACCAAATGACTCTGGTTAACGGGCTTAATTCGAGCAATTAGCAATGTTTTTATCATCCAAAAGAGCCTCACCCAGTCATCCCTCTCCCTTGGCTTTGGTCCACATTTAACATAAATATTACTATAATTCACATAAATCCTTCCATTTCTTTGAATCCTTTTTCCTTCCCTTTAAGGGAGAAAACAGTGTCCAGACTGTCCAGTAATACTGTGTTCTCTGGTTAAATGCTTTTCTTGTTTTCTTGAAAAGGATGTAAAGCTAGAGGTTCTGTCTCTCTGCACTTCCCACTCAACAAACATGTTATCAAAGCTTACCTATGTATAGAAGAAATGTATTGTATTCCCAAGTCTGTTATGTTAATGTAATCAGAGAGATCTAGGGTAGTCAGAGGGAATCCTGCAAATCATAATAATTGGATAATAAATGTTAATGATTCTTGGCCCCTGTACATTTTTACTGAAAGGATAAATATGAAAATTCTCTATGTTTATGTCATGGACAGCTATGGAACCTAATACCATATCAAAATATCACGACAGATGAAGCTAGTTCCATGCCTGGGCTCCCTAATCCTAGGTTAAATACCCGTAGACTCAAAATCATTACACAAGTAAGAGAACCTTGAATATGATAAAGTCCTTGGTCTGTAATAGTGAGTCTGTTTGGAAGCTTCAGCAACATCAACTGCAAACCTGCAACATTAGAAATAGTGATAGTGTGAGACATTAGACTATACTACTGAAGGATAACGTTTTTAAGAATTATTTTAAGGCATATTGGAAAGATTACACTGGAACCATGCTTTGGAAAATATGTTCTCAACCCAATAATGAAATAAGAAAAAAAATAGCTATACAGTAAAGGCAAGTCTACATTTTTCTAAGCAAAAAAATAGTATCCAACATAAAATATCAGTGCATTTACCGTGAAGTTGCTGTAGTCCACTGTTTGAAATATTAGTTGATAAGAGATTGAGAGACTTCAATGAGGAAAGATGTCTGATAGTACATATACTGCTATCTGTAAGCTGTGTATGTGAAACATTCAATCTTTCAAGGCTGGTCATTTCTGACAGATCATCAAGCTGGTCAATCTGACATGTAAATATGAGGATAAATATTTAAATAATGTGATCTATCTAACTTATTTTCTTGCTTGGTTCAAATAAATAAATAACAATATTTTTGTTATTATGTTACTATGGATCTTGTTGCACTGTTTATCAAACATTTAAGCAACTCTACTGACATCAAAGATTTAGTTTGAGCTACTGCTTTCATTTACATAATAATGACTGCATTTCTTCAGGTAGAAATAATTTATTAAGTTTCAAAGGCTTTGGCTGATGGATAGGAAGAGGGAGTACGAGGGGAATGGAGTCTATCTGTTTCAACCTACAACTAAAACCCCGACAAACATTTTGACATCCTACCTTGGTGTTTTCCATCTCAAGAACCTTCAATGATTTTAAATCTAAAACCAACATCAAATACATTCAAAAACAACAGATATTGGTGTAACTCCAATTCTAAACAGATAGATTTGTAAATAATAAAATATTCTTACTCTTAATGACTTTCAAACTTGAGTTTGAGATTGCAGTACCACACAGACTGAGATGGGTAAGTTTTGCAACACATTTAGCATGAGTAACAAAGTATGATATGCCTTCATCAGTGACCTGTTGAACACATTTTACTATTAAACACTGTCAGTAGAAATCTATGAATTTAATAAATTTTATCTGGATTATCTGCTATCTGGCCAATATTGAACCAGTAAAATGTTCGACCATTCTTGTACAAGATCCTTCCCTGCATTTCCTAGAAGACTCTGGTTGGAGATGATACTGAAAGATGCATATCTGTGTTGTATGATATGTCAGTACATGCTGATGGCACACGGGAAATTTTGAACCAATCAAATCAAATCAAAGACTTACTGGTCTCCAACCAAAGCCTGCAATTTTCTATATGAAACAGGGAAGATTGATGTTTGACCAACATGTCATGTTTAATTAAAGGACATAACCAATGATAAAACCCAAACCCAAAATACCTTTGTTCTATCCATTTGCAGCACAGAAAGAGATGGCAGCTCTAACGTAAAACAAATACCATGGTCAAGATTTTACTATGACTATAAATTTATTATAATTGTTCGTTAACTAAGCATACCTACCTTTGATGTAAATCATGCATTTATCTGTAAGCTGTGAGCACTGGTTGATATTCAGAGATTGTAATTTTTTGAGGGCTAAAATAATATAATTATAATATAACAACAAAAATTAAAAGAAATCAGTTCTTAAAAATTAATTGTTTTACTGCTAAATGAAATCATAAGACTACCTGCTATAGCTTCCATGGCTTTATCTGTTATCAAAGGACATGACTTCAAACTGAGTAATGTGAGATATTTGTGACATCTGAAAAAAAATATCCTTACTTACTATAATACTAGGAATAAAAACTTCTAACAGTAACCTATATGTAAGTGAATCTAATCATGGATTTGTTATGTGATTTAAATAGTTCACATATAATTTGATATGCTGTGAAGGTCAATTATTACTTGTGACTTTATTGTTTTTAAATTATCTTTAAGCTTTTGGCTAAATACCTGTAATAACCTTTTGTTGCTATTTTGAGAAAGAAGAGCTAAATATTTCCCAGCCCCTTTTTTACATATGTGGAAAAATATAAAGATTTTTTTTCTGGACTGCTTCACATTGTTTATAATACGTCACAGTATATTTTTTTACTCCCGCTTCACCAGAGAATGATGTGCTGTAACTATTTTCTTACTTTACTAACCTCAGTGTGGATAGAAGTTCATTTGTGACTAAGAGGTAGCAATCAAGTTTAATACATCTAAGACAGCTGTAAGTAAATAACCAAGTAAACAACTGCATCCCAATAAATATCAACAGAAACTAAATGTACTCTAAATATAATTTCTTACCAAGATAAAAATGCATTCATAACTTTGGGTGTTAAAGCTTTGCTCTTCATCAGTTTCTCTAAAAGTTTGTCACAAATACTGTTTGACAGATTGCCTAAAGAGGCAATAGGTTGCAGCCTTGGGTGACCAGACACACGCAATGCTACATCTTCAATGCATATATCTTCCAGTCGTCTCACCTCCCTGTGCAATTGTGGTGCATCCATTTGACATTGATTAGTGTCTGGGATGAAAATCAAGTTAAAAAAAATCTCATTACTTTTAAAAACCTCCTTAATTAATAAAAGCATTGTACCCATCAAATGTTGCAGTCTTTGTTCTCTCATTTCCATTCTTCTTTCTGCAGATTCACCAGGTGAACTTGAAGGCAATGTTGGATTTATAGCATGTGGGTTATATTCCACATCACCCAATCGCATCCCTCCACCTGGCCACTGATGAGGACGGTGTCTACCAGCAAGTTCAGGAATTACATCTAATGGTGGAGGCTGCATGTTATCAGCTGGAATTTCTGCCTCATTTACTTCATTAGGGAGGAGATTTCTCTCATTACCACCAATTTCAGGTTGTTGTCCTTCATCTATGTTAAGTTGTCTGTTTGTTTCTTCACAGTTATTGTCTGATTCAGCCATACTTTCTGCAGCTGAGCTTGATTGTGCTTGTTGTTCAAGTCCTGTATACAAATGGCAAAAGAAGGACAACATATATATATAATATATAACTTTAAGTTTTTCTTTGGAGAATTGTTTACAAGGTAGACATGAAAGAAAACATTGCATTACACATTTGAACAACCTGAATGGATTTGTCTTTTCTGTACCACTATCATTGCAGATGGATGAAGACCAAGTGATTCTAGTGACAATTCTAATTCATCTAATGTGAATATTTTATGAGGAAAAGGCTGAAAACAAATGCAATAAATGATTAAACTGAGACTCTAGTATTAACGTGCACTATGTTAAACACCTCAAAATATTATCATATTAAATAACAYACTGAACATTACCTGAAGAACATCAACTTCCTGATTTCTTAATGAAGACTCTCCTGATACCAAACTGATTGCTTCCACAAGACTCACAGTGATAGATATTGCACCAGTTTTAACTTGGCCATTTGGCAATCGCACCTAATAAATTACATGAAATTTCAGTATTTCAATAGTTTTTCTTATTATGGATTTTTTAACATAAAAATAAATATTTTGTGGAAAACAACATCAATTCAGATAGCCTGTAGAAACAGATTCTCTTATAATGTGCTCAAACTAAAAAAATGTTAATGGAAAGTCCTACATATATATATGCAGACTGATGCCTTACAACCTTTAATAGACATTCTGTATTGTTTTTCTTGGGTTTAACAACATCTTTGATGTTTGTACTTGGTTGTTGGTCTGAAAAAAGGAAATAGTTCATTAACTCTTTTGTAGTATCAGGCTTATTAATTCAGTGAAGTAATAAGATGTAGAAAAAGTTTACAGATGAACAAAATATCAAAGCTATTGATGAAAACATTCAATCAGGCAATCATGATCAAAATAATTTGTCAACAGTTATTTCAGAAAAGGTTGAGTACTTCATAGTACATTCAAATACCAAAATGGATTAGTGCCCCTTTTAGCAGCAATACAACAAGCAACCATTTCATTATTGGATTGCACTATGCAGTATTAGATTTTCTCTGCAATGGCTTTATAGTCTACCTGACACACTAGTATTGGATTTAGAGGCAATTTTTGCTTTTCTCAATGCCTTGTCATCTGCTATTTGTGATAATATTTGCTGTCGTACCTAGATATGCAAAATACAATATAGTTATTTTAATGATTATTGTTGAATGATATGTGTAGAGCTAGATAGCCATACAAGTAAAAGATATGTAATGATAATGATATCAAAGTACAGAATGAATTATTTAAAACAGATCTAGTTGGTGATTATGTTATTGATTAAAAAAAAGTGACATACTCTTCTTTCTTCCAGTTTGCGCTTTTTAGCTTCTGTTCTGGCTTGTTCCCTTTCTTTTTCAATGAATTGCTCCCTGGCCTTTTTGGCATCATCAGATATGGTCCATCTACTTGTCAAAGGTTGTTCTTGCATGTTACCAGTAACATCTTCTAGGTGATCTTTACCAGGTACAGTAGAATCATCCTGCACAGATAAACATTACTTTTGAAAAATGTACTGGGAGGATTATTTTTCATTCTGATACTCCATTACACTCCTTTGTTTATAAAGATGCCTATTTTACATAGAAAAGGTTTTTATTGCAACCATAATTTGGCTTGTTTAGACATAATTAAGGTAAATCCTTTCAAGGTGGTGTAGAGCATAATGCGCTGTTGTTACATTAGTTATATTGAGGGACTATAGATATCCATAGCTTCCAATAGTTATTACCTTTGAAATATGTGTTTTAAAATGTGATTGAGATTTCCTGTGCATCAACCTTTTATGGAAAGAAAGAATTGAGCTTTAATATTTCTAGGTCAGCCTGTTTCATGGCAAAATAGCCAAATCAATTTATACCATTCCACAGCTGACTCGAGATTCGTATGGCCAGCAAGTAATGCTTCATTGCAATCTTCAAATTCAAATCCCATTGATGCAAGGGCTGCAAGCAACTCATCCAGATTCTATCAATATAAACAAGGCATCAATTACAGGCTAATTTCCCATGTACTATACACAACCATAAACGCGCTTCAATCTAGTTACTATTACAAAAACAATCACATAAACCCGAAATTAGAAATGTTCAATCAATGTGTTTACAAAATGTATGAAACATTACCTCACTGTCCGCCATCTTGAATAATGTCCAGACATGTGGGTTTCCTGTGTAAAACAGACTCTTTTGGACTTCCTGTGGTTTTAYATTTCCCATTAATTCTTGGGTTGGTTTAACAAATAATGTATACATTTATTGAATTCAATATCTTCAAATATTTATGAATCCAAAAAATTTAATATAAACTTATTTTCGTACCTTTAATCGGCAATTTAAATAAAAAATCGAAAGGAATTGCAGATCAAGATATCAATTCTTCTAATAAGAACTCGCCCCAGTTTCTCCTCTACTATAATACCGGTGGAAAAACATGGCGACTGGCGATGGCGGAAGAGTGAGAGATGGAAAAGAGATTCCACCGGGCTCAATCGTCTCTTGTACTACAAAGTTTGATGAGAAATATCAAGGAGAGGTGATAGCCTTCGATTATAGCACAAAGTTTGTTGTTATCAGTATCCTTTATATATAGAAATGCATTTAAAACCGACTGCGTGTATCAAAATTTGAACAGATTTAATTTTATCGAAAGTCAAAGGAAACACTTGTTTCCATTGAACTTTTTGAAAACGAATTGATGAGGTTTGTTTATACTAGAAAGTCTCTTGCTGAACTATGTACCATAAATGTCCTCATTTCACATTCTCTAGTTATTTTGTAACTAAACAACTTTGAAGAATGAACTTCACCTTGGGGGTAGGGTAGGGGATTTGAAGTGTCCTTGTCATCATTTACCATAAGCTTATAATCAGTCTAATTATTTACATATTTTTTGCAATATTTTTCAACTCTCATTGGCTGTTGGCTGTGTTTGTATTAAAATTTAGATCCATGATTTACTGCTCAAATGTAGAAAAAGTTTATAAAAGAAATATGATATATATATTTAAGAAATATAAAACGGCCGCTTGTGTCTCTGTCCTCTGATATAAACACGGTGGGAGTTCGAAAAACACGAGAGAAGCAAGCTTAGGAACACGAGCGTAGCGAGTGTTTCTCTTGCTTCTCGAGTGTTTTTCAACTCCCACCGTGTTTATATCAGAGGACAGAGACACAAGCGGCCGTTTTATATTTCTTTTATAAAATTTTTCGAGCGAAAATAAAATTTTGCTGGTAAGCCGTGTCTCTGTCCTCTGATATAAACACGGTCGTCAGCCAATCAGAGCGCGCGTTATATATCAAAAATTTTATAAATATATATATTATATCAAAAAGGCAAGATTTTGCAGTAACTCCGAGTTTCGTGCTACGCACTCATCAGACAGTATTTAATGATAAACATTCCTATAATCTAGATATATATACATGGTATAGAACAAAAGGCTAAGTGCTAGGCTCAGGCTGGGATCAGCCACTTCCTCGTACGATTAAAAGAAATATGAAAGAGCTGCTTGTGCCTCTTGTTCTCTCCATCACTATGTCACTTTCAGTGAATTAGTTATAAATTTTGTGTGAATTTTATTAGCAAAACAAGTTTGTTCACCTTAACAGATGTTTAGAAACTGATGCTACCACAGAAACAAAGAAAGGAAACTCAGATGTGAAAATATTTAATATTTCTTACCTGAAAAATTTTGAGATAATTAAAGAATCTACAACCAAAACAGTCAAATCTTTATCAGCACTTGATCTTGAGAAAATTGACAGACGATGTAGAGCCAAAGTCAATGAGAAGATGCAAGCTGTTAATCGAGTGGGAGTTGATGTTACTCCTGAAGGACAGAAGCTTTACGACATGTTAGCCAAACAGTGAGTTATACCATTTTATATTTTGGTATTCAATTTTCTTGTTATTCTTAACGACTTGGAATTGTGTTTCAGATTTTCAGAGCTACAATGGAATGATAAAAATATTGTAGTTATGAATAGTGTAGTCATTAAACCCCCGTACAGTACAGAAAGTATATACACTGAGGGAAAAGATGAAAATGCATTCAATTATATCAGAGGAATTGTAAGTACATTTTATGTTTTCCCAATATCACCTCATTATTCAAATTTCTCTCTCCAAAATCTCAAAGTCTTGATGTTTTAGTTACTCAAATATATGTATTAGTTAGCTATAATGTGGCTTCATTGAGTTTTGAACTGCTAATCTTGTTTTCTTTGTTTTTTTTATCAGGTTAACAGGCATCATTGTAAAAATGAAAGCGAAAGCTAGCCATTTGTCTACAAGTCATTAATTTATTTTTGAGAGGATCTATTTATGGACAAGAGCAATGTCTTTCACTTTTAACAAACATATTTGCAAGTGAACATGCAAGAAAATTCTTTCATTCAAGATAAAATGGAAAACACAGTCTCTGAAATCACAGGACTTCATAAATTATTAGTTTTATTGATTTACCTGTTTTTAAAAGTAGTATTTCACACCATTTTCATACTCCAAGACATAAAATACTTTCAATGTTTTMAGAAAACTTCAACCAAAGAAATTAACCTCCGAAAATAGATATCCCATTAATGCATCAAGACAATCCATTTGTGTACATTTTTGGACTAATGATCACTGTAAAGTAATTGCGTAGATGATACTCTAGCTAAGCTCTAGTGATGAGGTTAAACTGTCCAAACAGCATTTTCATTCTTCACTCTGAAGAAGTTTGCTCTTAAACCTCTTCAAAAATCTCATAGATGTTTAAAGTAGTTTTACCTAAACAAGTTATTTTTAGCATAGATTTTGTATGACCCAATAAACAGTGAGAACTTTCCATTTTTTTGTGTTATATTGACCTATACAGTACATGCCATGACTCACAAGAATCACTTAGTTATGGTCACAGTGGCCCCATTTTAGAGGATCTAACTTATATAACCAAATAAGCACTTTATTCTGCTCACCTGCCACAAGATTATGGAAATACAACTAAAAATAATTCTTGCATAATGCCAGTGTTATCATGTGGTATGATGAGTTTATAATTTTACCTCCAATTCTCATTTTCCAGTTAAAATATTTCTTCTCTATGTACTCTGTGCATGAGAGCCTTCTATGTGTGAACAGAAACTCATAAGGGGATCATCACTGTGTACATTTTGTAAATTTGTCATAGCAATGGTGAATAATATTCAGAGCAATGTTGGATCAAAATCTAATTTTGGTTGAGCCATCAGACCCTAATTTGATACAAGAAACATGAACAAATCAATCACAGGGCATCACAAATTTATTAATTTATTATTAATTTGAATTGTTTGACATAAGTACCGCTTTAGAGTGAGACTGTCTATGCTTGAAACCAGTATTCAAAAAAATTGATAACAGAAATGCTGAAGACTAAAATTAACATATTTATTAGCCTTTAGACACTCTTTAGGATATAGTACAAAATAATGATTATTTCAGATCATCAGACTACTTGTAACAACCTTAAGGCTTGACTTAGAAATGAACTTTGGATGAATTGGTGGTACATTGTAGATAATAAGATTTGTAGATACACTATTTACAAATTTCTGGAAGTTATTTAGGGCACCACAGCAAACCCAAGCAACTTCACCAAAATAATTGTTTTTTTAATATATTGTTTTTTTCCTGATGAATGACAATCTGCACTGGCGCTTTGAAGGTGACCATGCATTTTATCCCATTTTTCCACTTCTTTCAACTTTATCCTTTCGTACAAATCAGATAATCCTATGGAATCTTGGCAGTTGCAGTGGCATGGTCTTATATATTTTACTTTTCCTTTAATCCATAGAAACAAACAATTATTATATGATTCAATGAAACTCATGAAAGTAATGTCATGTTCCAGGTTCTCACCTTTGCGACGTCATTTAAAGATTGTCCTTCATTTAACTCCATAAGTCTTACACGTTCTAGACGTTTTTGCCTCATAATATATGCTCCTTTAGCTGTAAGATACAGTAGATAAACAGTCAGTGTGCTCATTCCTAAAGCAATAGTTCTTTGGCCATATGTAGCCACTTTGGAAAAAAATCCCGACATATTTTCATCCGTGCGTGGAGTAGTAGAGTGTTGAGAATGAGAACTGAGAACTTATGCAATCCTGATGTCAGCGGTGTAATTCTTTATGTCATGCACTTGTTTTATATATCGTTTTTTTTTAACTATTCTTTTGTATTGTAGTAAAAATAGTCTTTCCTCGTGAATGAATTTGATCTTTTAGTTTATGATATTTTATTTTTAATAGAAAAAGAGCCTTACTGGTGAAATTAGAGGCGATAGTAAATAACATAGACATCCAATCAGACGAAAGCTTCTAATAGGTTTAGGCGGAGGTGACGTAAAATTCCCGGCAAAAACTGAACAAAATGGCAACAATCCTTCGTAGCAGATTCCTTGTTTCAAACCTGTCAAGGAGGATCTTTCTTGCTCGGTGTTTCTCAAGTAAGTTTGAATATTCTATAAAAATTATGATTGGGACATTTTACTAACTGGACAATCTTGTTATTATGCTTCAGATGGATCGAACAGTACGGTAAGAAATTGATTTTTGATCATTGGTCAATCTACACGTGGAAACATTTGTTTTGATAACTATTTTGTTTTTATTATTTTACATGTAATGACCATTACAAATTATTAGTATTACTATAAGTAAAATGAGGTTGATTCAAATAGATAGACATTGGAATTAGGCTACTCATGCCTTTTAATTTAATATTTTATAATTTTATTACCATTTAATTTTGCTTGTTAGGACTCTACCATTGGATTTGTTGGTCTTGGTAACATGGGAGGTCCTATGGCCAAGAATTTGATTGACTCAGGCCATGACATTGTAGTTTATGATATTTTTAATGAAGCAGTTGATGAATTGAAACAACATGGTGCTAAATCAGCAGAAAGTCCTGCCATGGTTGCATCTCAAGCAAAGAGGATCATAACCATGCTTCCATCAAGGTCTGTTTATATACATCTCTAATTAGTTTGCCATTGACAAGATGTGTATTAACATGGATGTCACAGGAATCAGGGTCAGATTTAAGGGGGACCAGGACCCTCTTTTTTTCTGAAATAAGACTAATCAAGACGTGCAAAAATTTTCAAAAAAAAAAATGTGATAAAAGCAATAGTTGGTGGTTGAAGTCCCTCACAATGATAAAAATTGCATCTGGATCTCAATTTCAAGATTTCCTTAGACTCTACTAGTTACGCCCACCTCCAGTGGCTATTGGATACCAGAATTTATGACAACCTTTTTTGTACATAAATTTGCTGGATCCCCCCTTTGGAATTTGAATTGCTCCATATGCCATTGCTGTTTGCATTTCAAGGTCAGCAATTTAACAGAAAGAAGGAGGATATATGAAATATTATAAAGTATTTCTTGGGAAACTCCTTGATTATGCTATATATCATTGTTTTTACAGTCCTAATGTTCTGGAGGTGTACAATGGTGACAATGGAATATTAAAGTAAGTCATACCCGCTTATTATACACCTCATTAACCACTGGTATGATCTTGCAAACAAATTGCTAGCTGCTATTTTATCTTACATAGGGCTGTGCAAGACAACGCTCTTCTTGTGGATTGTAGTACTATCGATCCTTCCATTGCAAAGGAAATGAGTGAATTAGCAAAAACAAAAAATGCTACATATTTGGATTCTCCTGTTTCTGGAGGTAAATTCACTCAAATATTTCAAAGGAAAGCTCATAATGTCTGGCTGATCTCAGTCTAGTTTTTCATGATTTCTGATTCAACATTATCCTAAATAGAAAATGTAGTGAAAAAGAGAAAAACATTAAAAAGGTTATTTACTAGCTTAATTTCAGCTTGCATAGTGAAAAGCTGTCCTTTTGATCTAGTGACATTTCTAGATTTCTTAAACCTTGGTTAAACTCTTAAACTTGACAGGTATCACTGCAGCAAAAGGAGCAACACTTACTTTCATGGTTGGGGGTGAGAAAGAAGGATTTGATCAAGCAAATTCCATTCTGCAACACATGGGCAAGAATGTGATTCACACTGGTTCAGTGGGAACTGGACAAGTAAGATTAATAAACCATACTATGAGAGATGGTGTTCGTTAAGACTAAATCTTATTTGAATCTTTGTAGGCTGCTAAGATCTGTAATAACATGCTATTGGCAGTCAGCATGATAGGAGTCTCAGAAGCAATGAATCTTGGAATAAACCTTGGTTTAGATGCCAAAATGATTGCCAAAATATTCAATTCCAGTTCTGGTCGATGTTGGTCTAGTGATACGTATAACCCTTGTCCAGGAGTGATTGAAGGTGTTCCGTCCAGTAATAACTATCAAGGGGGGTTCATGACAGCTCTTATGGCTAAGGTAATATGAATACAGTGGGTCGGGATACAACAGTATGTTGGTGGACAAACTTTTAAGTTGACTTCCTGTCACTCTTGAACCATTGTCAATGTTTTCTTTATTAAACTACTAGGATCTTGGTCTGGCTCAGAATGCATCTACATCAACAAAGACACCAACCCCAATGGGGTCATTAGCTCACCAAATCTACAGGATAATGTGCAACAAAGGTTACAGTAATTTGGACTTTGGATCAGTTTTCAAATATCTTCAGAGTGAAGAAAAATCCAAATGAATTCAAGTATTTCTATCAGTGGGTGCCAATGAGATGTAAAATTAACATAATGTCAGCTAAGATCTCTTTCTATAACAACTGGGTGAATGTGGAAAATGTTAATGTATTAGGTAAATATTTAATAAACAATCAGTTACTCAATGGTAATTTTATCTTCAATGTGTTCACATGTTTCAGTGACTGAAACAACAACTTTCAGGAGTTGTCAGAGCTTCTTATCAGAGAGATAGTAGTATATTAGTAATAGTATATATAGTATAACCAACAAAGATAAAAGATAGTTCATAGTAGATTAGTTTTCTTTCAAAACAAACTTGATTTTGTTCATTAAAATGTTAAAATATTTACATCAAGCTCAAAGGCCTATTATTTTACAGTTCACTGTAAGTATATTTGTTACTTGATTACTAACTCAAACGAATTATTCAAGACTAGTCAGGCGTATTACTATCAGGATAGTTATACCAGTCATGATAACCATTTCATTGATTCTTAAGAAACACAGGGACCCCATATACAACTGGTGAAGCACCAATCAAATAAGGCCATTTACAAGCCTGTCGAGCATTGCGCAAGAATTGAGGTAATGACCACTTTTGTCCACTTTGTAACCATGCTTTTAGAAGGAACTTTGTAAAACGATCAATGTCCCTGTCTGTCACATCCCAGAGATTGCCAACAATGGCAGGACTGTAAAAATATACCAAAGGTGAGTATTAAAAGTGATCTTTTGAATGAAGTGATGAGCAGTAAACTTACCACCCGGCAAGAAGATAGCGAAGACTCATTCCCCTTGGTTCACATATACCATCAACCTGAAAAAATGAATAATCGTAATGACCATATTAGATGTATAATGATACTGCATTTATAAATTTAGAGATAAATACTTCTTAGACAAAAACAAAACCCACATTTGAAATACCCTTTAACTAAAGTGGTGGTTCCCATACCGTTAATTTAGCACTACTACATCCCATCAACAATGCTGTAGCTCTACAGATAATGCGCTGAACATCATCACCACCAAGAAATGATTGACCTGCATTATGACCAAGGTATCTAAAATATAAACATGATAAGTGTTGCTGTATTGACGTCCTTCACATACTACCTACAGTGACGCTACCCAGGTGGACGCTACCACTTTCATAAACATGGACATATGAACAACAGACCATCATCCCAACTGACACTATCATCATCATAACAACATCATCACTACCATTTCTATTATCAATACCATAAGCATCAATAGCCTCAATGTGGTACGTACAGAAATAGATCATGATCTGACAAAGCACTCTTGTATTGCTCCTGTGAAGGCTTCTCTCCTGAAACGCCCTGCCATTTTAACTCACTGAAAATGATACATAAAACTCAGATTAAAATAACAAACATGCAATCCACTGAAAGTAGTTAAGTGCTGAGGCAAACATGTAAATTTGACTTAATTTACTGAAATGTTTTACAGAGTGTCATACTCGATACAGTACTAATGTAATGCAAGTTTACCTTTCAAACCAGTTTTGGAATATCTTCTGTGTGTTAGGAAGATTGTTTTCTGGATTTAGCACAAAGTAGGCATTCACAGGGTCAACACTTTGCTCACCCTTGAAGAGACAATGGAGATTTGAAGACTTTGTTATGATTTGCACAAATGTGAGCAGTGAATTAAATATAATAATTAAAATGGTAACAACATGATAAGCTCACCTTCTGTGTCTGTGCCAGGACAAAATGCATTGATGGCATTCTTGTTATAGGATACTGTCTCAAGATTGGAATGTTTTCCCATGGTAAATGCTGGATATCCTGTGGCCAATTATGAAATGCAATTATTTATTTAATATTCAGCTATGAATAAGAAGCAAATAGATTTTTCTATTCTTTGAAAGCATTATCTTTACGTTCTGCCATAAAGCTGTTTGTAGTTTCAGTCAGTATTAATTTACTATTTGCTGAATGGATATCTTAATTTACCTTTCCAAGGATAAGTATAACTGGATGTCGATCACTTGTAAGCTGGCTTTTCCTGGGAAACAATTAAAAAGTCTCATTGCTAAACAACCATAAGACCTAAGGCAGATGACATTTATTTGCAAGGTTATTTCAATAAAGAAGAGGTAGGTAAGAAAACAACCATCTAATAAAATTTAATGCCTCAATGTTTTTCTTGGCCCATGGAGATATGAGATGAGATTTTTACAAATTGTTTCAAGACCTACTTTCTTCCAGAATTTCTTGTTGGTAAAGAGCTAACAGCTTGCTGAAAGTCTTCTACAGCCTGTGTACAACAAACCATAGTTAAATTTACTTGTCTGAAGTTTGCAGTGCAAAAGTACTGTGAGTGGAATTAACAAATTATCAAACAAAGCAATATTTACCTGGTCTAGCTTTGGTATTGTCTTGTCTATTCCAGTAATCATTGACAGTACGTCCCTGGTTTGTGACATGGTTAGATAGTCATGCGAGTCCAGTATCATCTGTTTGGCAAAATACAAATAGTGAATGAGTACAAAAAGGCAGGAAATAGCACTGATGTTTCAACTTACTACTTTAAATTGCACTTCTATCATGGCTATGAAATCCCAGAAGGGAAAAGTAAAGCTAATGTTAATGTTACAAACCTGGATGATTTCTTCATCAAGACTATTGTTGGTATATCTTGCTAGTTTAACAATCAAGTCTTTTGTTGTTTGTAGTAATGCTTCTTGTTGATTAACATCATACTGCTGTCCCAGTACTATCCCTTTCCACATGCCAAGCCAGGCATTCTCCATCCTCTCTAATAAACTCTGTTGACATCACAAATGTATTAGCAAACTATTATAAATTTGTGCACTGAACACAAAAATTATTGACGAATAAGCCTAAGTAAAGTATAATATTAATGTTATTTTTGATATAATTACTAACATATAGCACTACTTGCTGCCCGTGGGTTGAATTATACCCTAAAGCTACTATTACCTTTAGTCTGGAATCCAGTTTGGATCTAGCATGTTGCCAGTCCTTATCATCATTGATGGTCATGCTATCCAAGCTGCCCTGCATGATGTCTGAGAATTCCTGTTGAATGTTACCCTGGAATAACTGTGACAAGTCCATCACAGCCTTGTTGACTTGATCATTGCACTGTTGAGAACAATTAAAAACATTTTAAAAATGATAAACATTTTTGTGAGTTACAGGTACATGCAACAGATAAATTGTTCTTTAAAAGTTAACAAGACCAAGACTTACAAATGTATCATCCTCATGAACAATATCTGGCATTGATACTTTGACTACAATGGGCCTTGTTCCTGGTCTTTGTCTGGATATAACAAGTTGTTGAGGGTGTCCAGGAAGTTGGACAGGAACCAATGTACAGATAGTCCAGTCTACAAGAAACATTAAGATATTAAAACTATATACCCATCACATGATGTCAAAGTAACTCTCCCTGGAACTAAGGTGCATAATGTACCTTTGGGTATTCCCTTTGTACTCAGTCCAGGTTTGTTTTTAAATAACATCAATTGCCTTGTTTGTTGAAGGCTCTGTATGATGGTTTGACTATCATCAAGTGAGTCATCTATTGTTATAGAGCTAAGCTTGTTGGCTAGTGAAGACACATCCCCACCAGGTACCTAATGAACATTATAAGATACTCAGATCTTTAATAAATAAACCATAAAATTACATTTTATTTGTCAATGTATCAAATCAGAATAAAGTTACCTCTGGCTTGATGTTTTTCAATAGCTTTCTGTGGGTAAATAATGTTTAAAATAGAGTTTAGTCAAAAATAAAACATAACGCATATCAAGTCTGAGATGATAGGTAAAGATTGATATGCCATGGTCTATAAGTCATACCTTATCTTTGTTCTGGTAGTATAAGCCGCTTCATGTCTAAGAGTAATGCCAAGAGATAAATCAAGATAATATGCTGTCTTGGTAGGCTCAGAATATCCATAGCAAAATGCAAGACTCTGACAAAGCTGTGAAAACAGTTGGGGATTTGGCCAGCAACTGCAGAGGTTGAATGCTTTGATAAATGTGTCAATAGCAAGCTGAAAACCTGAAACAAAACTTGGCATTAACTAACTAAGATTTTACAACTAATTTATAATTTAAGTTTCTAAAAAGGTGATTCATTGAAGTGCTCACCATCATTTCCTGTTCTATCTTTGTTGATGTTTTCTTGAGTTTGTTTGTCCTGTGATGCCTTCTTGCTTCTTCCCCTTCCCTTTGCAACTTTTTCAACTTCTTCATTGGTGGGAAGTACATCTTTTTTCTTAGCTGTTCTTCCTCTAGTTTTTCTCTTGACTTTCGTGTCATCCAAGCTTCCCTCTGAACTATTTTTGTTATCAGCTTCCACAAGATTGTTGTACCATAGCGCATCCAAAGCACTATCATTACTTCCTAGTTCTTGTAAAATATAAGCAACTCCTTTCAGGTACAGTAAATGAGTCACGTTTGGTATCAACCAGAATGGTGTTGAACCAGTAACTGCTTTAATGGTCTCCACAACATCAGTACCACCTTTGACAACATCCAAAACCTTCTTCACTTTACCATTACCAAGAAGAATAAGAGAATTTTGAACAAATACTTGACACAAATATGAACTGTACATTATGTGTATAGTTGACAACAGGCTGACTTCTCCTGTGGCTAGCTTACACGGTTGTCTTCTTTTAGAGACTTTCTTCTTTGCATCAGTCTTGTTTGACTTACTAGGTGGTTTAGGGGATCTTCCAGTACCAAGTTGTAAAAGGCTTGAGCACTCATCCAAAGCACATTGTAGTCTTTGAGATGCGTGAGAGATCAATTGATCAGCAATCTCTAAGGCGGTAATTGATTGCCTGTAGTGTTGTATAGACTCCAGGTACTTGGAAAGTTTAATAAAGAAAGCTATTTGAAGGGATTGTATGGTTGGGTCAGCACAGCAAACATGGCAGCAAGTATCAGGATGATTGATAAGATGTGGTACTTGTAAACAATGTTCAAGTTCAGTTATGGTGCAACTGGGTTGTAAAACTGGTCCAAGTATATGACAAACTTGCAAAAGATGATTTTCAGCTGCTGGAAAATCCCCTTTATGGATCTTTGTTACACACAAGTTACTGACGAACTCTGCCACTCTAAAAAGAATGGAAATCATTTAGTTTTTTCCAATAATTAAACTAAGCCATTTAGAAATAAAAAAAAAACAATAAAAAACCTCACCCTAAAATTCTCCCCAACAACATTTTGTTTTGAGAGTTTGAAGCAAAGATTAATCACAATTCTTTTAGACTGATTGAATTAGCATACCTATATGGCAGGGCCATTCGTCGTGATAAGCATAACCCATCAGTAAAATACTTAATGGCTTGTTTGACCATCCCTTGATGGGACATCAAATCCCCACACTGCATCTGACAATCAAGCAGGTTTTGGCAAATAAGCAACAATTTTGTATCAGTTGAGATCACTGGACAGCCACCTGTAAATAATAACAGAATTGTGGAACTATTATTAGAATGTTGCTGTATATTTTACATTTTTATGATGGGATGTCTTACTTGAACTGATTTTGCTGTCAGTGTTTACTTCATCAGTAAAATGTGTTTTCACAATACTTTCAAGCTTTCTGATGCTTTCAATGGCTGCATCTAATGGTGTCATTTCACTACCACTGCTACCTAAAAGGTTTGGTTTGAATAATGAAATAACATTAAATAATGGACATTTAAAAACAGAAAAAGTCTGTTAACTAATGTCTAGAACTAGTCAAGGTGTTAACTAGTTGAGGTTACAATAAGAGTTACAAGATTGAGTCTGTCATGCACATGCTTATAGATGTTGAAATGTTTTAATCAATGTATTGTACAAGCATAAATTCAACTTCAAGACCTTTTAAGCCTAAACTCTGTGTCAATCATTAACATCAAAAAACAAAAGTTTACCTTGTGAAAAGTCAAATTTATAGATGGTATGTGGGATCTGCAGATACTTGGCCAGTAAGGAATAAGCCATGGCTTGAATCACTATTTGATTGCAACTTGTTTTACCTAACATGACATCACTATCCAGTGCTTTAACAAGACACTTCTCTCCTTCTGAAAACTATTGTTCAAAGATTTAATATTAGCAAAGTTTTAGTACCTTTCATCCACAAACTTGAATGAGGTAAATATATACTGTAAGTTACTCAGTTTATGTACCTGCCCTAACTCTAGATGAAGGTGACTTCTTGCAATTAAAAGCTGTACCAGTGAAAAGGACTGCAAACTTGTTTCATCTTCAATCTTCTTGCAGTAAGACATGATAAGCTGTGCATGGTGTAAATCGTGCATATTACACAGTGTATATATGGATTGTGTGTAAGCTTCAATTGCTGTAACACTGGTATCAGTTGTATCTGTTGCTTGGCTGACTAGAGAACAAAGGTGATTTGCATGCACCTGGTTCAAAGGCTGATGAAAAAATAGACACATCAGATAGTTTTTTATAACTATGTGCAATAGATCTACAGTAGTTTCTGATTTTAGTTAGCACATGAGTGAGTATCAAAATGAATTTTCACCTGCTTTAGGATACCATACAGCATGCTAACAGTCTTGAGACAACCAACTGTTTCAAGCGGATCTGACAGGTTTGATAAATTTATCTTCCAAAAAAAAAAAACACTGGCATAAGTATTACAATATGAAAAAATGCGAGCACACTATGTTGGAAGTCAACATGATTTGGGTGYTTTTGTAACTTACCTCCACTTTTCTGGATTCCTTCAAGCAGTTTTCAACCATAGATGTCCACATATCAACAGCAGCATGTAATGACAGCACAAATGGCTGCTCCAAACTGATTGCCTAACAATGCAGATGCAAGTTAATAAATTTAACTTTCAATTGCAACCAAACTACTTTAAATTAATACTGTATTTTTAGAATAAATGGTGATGTTGTATAAAGCCAGCAGATTGACTTGAACTGCTTGATATAAATTCCTTTCAGCTGTACTATCTTCTTTCAATGTAAAACTATATTTCAATGCCTATTGTTCAATCTTTACCTGATCACTCAGTTCCAGTGTTTCAGTATTCATGCCATCATGATTTACTCCGTGATCTCTAGTGACAGCTTCATGTTGAAGAATTCCTTTCCAAAAGTATGCTTTAGCTAATGTATCTTGCACAGCTACTACAGGTGCTGGATTATCTCCTCCTTGGCACTGATTAATTGCTGCCTCAAGAAATGTTATAGCCTCTTGACATATATTTAAAGGTGTCCTGAAATATTGAAACAGAAAAGAAATGTTTTCAACATTGAGCTTTCCTGTGCAGTGTCCTAGACAAGCAGCAAGAAACATCTTTCTAAATCTAAAAATCCAATTTGTTTCAAGTACCAGCAAGACTTGATAAATTATTACACATTGGTTAAAATACATATTATCAAATACAAGTAATAACTACAATATAATAATTAATGTAGAGTCAATAAACAAATAAGATACATTTTATTTTTGATTGATGGAAAACCAATCTTGACTTACTGATCTGTTATCCCATTTGAGTGAAGGATTTTCATGTGTTCCAGCAGAGCAGTGGCCAAACAGAAACTGTTTTCTTCTCTGTAAATGCTAATCAACTGTGAAGTGACTGATAGTTGCTCCAATAATGTATCATATCTAGAATATAAGTCATGATTTATTGACTTCAGGAGAAAGAGACATAATCCTCTTATTACATGTGAAAATCAGTATGTTATGCAGACGTTGTGCTAACCAGTTTAACTAAAAACCTTCCTGTGTGCTTCCTTTATGGCTTCTGATTTATTTAAAGTAGATTTCATGGTAACATTTTTGGTATGAATACATTCTTGCTGTTTTCTAAACTAAGGTAGTTTTATACAGCATTCATTTTTATCATCAGCAACAATATCTCACAAAAATTTATTACCTGGAGTTAAGCATTTTGCAACAATGAAGTTCTTGCTCAAGAAGACAACAAGTGTCCATACTATTGACGGAGTGACTACTGTCTTCAATTACATCCAAAAGAGTCCTATAAATAAAAAAATATAAAACAATACAAATAAATGAACCTGATACAATACACAGTTGTATTATGAGCACAGAAGAAAGACAGGAATGTACAAGTAATGAATACTCCTCAATGCCTTTCAACACATTAAAGGTGCATTGGATTAAGTATTTGGAAATGCATTTTACCTTTTTTGCAAATCTGGTAAATCTTTCTGACCAGAATGTTTTATTACATCGTGTTTAGACTGAACCCAGAGCTGCACATATTTCTGCACATCTGTGTCCAAAGACTGAAAATCTACTTCTTGAGTCTTGTAAAGAAGCAATTCAATCATTGTAGTAGATGTATCAAAGGCTTCCTTGTAAAGCTTGCTTCTTCTTTGACAGTCTCGAAGCGCTTCATACTTGATGAACAGCTGCAACTATTGATCAATTGAAAAGATATTGAAAATAGTTTGTCATTAAGTGAAAATCATGATTTACATGTCCGGAATATATTAAGTGATTCAAATACCAAGGAAAGAACATCCAACCTTGCTGTTGTCTGTAGTGATTATCATAAATGTAATATAAGGTTAATACATGTACCTGCTGAAGTCTTGTATTAAACATGTTGCTATTTTTTCCCAAGTAGCACCACTGCTTCATGTCACTACATCCTAACATCATGAGCTCTGCTGCTCTATCATAGGCATCATGCTTATATGCCTCCATACCAATGGAACACGTAATCTGACCATGCCACATTAATTCATCATTTGAACAAACACTGCAGTTCGCTATTAATAACTTTATTACATCACTGCATTGTTTAGAATACTGAATGCAGTCAGACATCATCTGGTCGCTGTACAAAACAAAACATCCTTGAGCTATTAATAAAGTTCATCAAAATGATTGATGATTCATTGACATTTATTCAAAATTACTTGTCCTGTCATTGGTCTGTCTATTACATGGTGTGTCAACCAAGAGATCACCCAGTATTAACTATTGCTGAAGTACATATGACAGTCCTCTTCATGATTCCATACACCATTTTGAAAGATAACAAATCTTTGTATCAAAGCCACTGCTATCTTTCAACACATGTTGTGAGAATTTGCAAAGGACACTTCTTCACTATTAAGGAATACTTTGAATAAACGCCTGAAGAAAATATGAATATTTACCTTTCTTTTGTGGATTTCTGGTTCAATCCAACCTGAATTTGGTGCTTATAGATGTTCATGACACAGGTACATACAGACAAATACTTGGCAACTATTTTCTGATATTGCTGTTTATGTTGTGAATCAGCACAAAAGGTCTCCATTTCAGTATTAAGCATGTTAGTGTAAACATCAAACAATAACAGCAAATAATGAAATGTTTTCTTAGGATTGTCTTTGTTTTCCTTGGATATAATAGGCTGTAGAAAGATTTTCATGTGTTCTAGTGTTTGGGATATTGAAGAATGTAATGATACATCTTTCATTGAAATCAGAAGTTCCAATGCCTTGTGGCCCTCACATAGTAACTTGTCAAGCTTTTCAAAGCTGCTGGACTTGGCAGTTGTTTTCTGCAGAACTTCATCCAATTGGATTGTTGCTTTCGTTAACAAAATACAACAGGAAGATAACCGTGATATCAAGCAGCTTTCTGCAGTATTGGATTTTACTAATTTCAGCATTTCACTAATGAAGTTTTGTAGTTTTTCAAGCATAAAAAAAGCATCCTTAGCCTTCTTCATGGTATGAAACAATCTTGAAATCAGTAAGCCAAGATCAAATAAAGAAAATATATGTCTAAGTTCTGGTAAATTCCTGTTATTTTGCTGTCTTAATTGGCACATCAGTGTATCAAAAGACAATGTTAATTGAGACATCAGGCTGGAATCAATCTCAATTGATATAGATCCACAACTTAATCGAAACTTCATCACAGAACTAGCTGCTTTTGTAATCAAACAATGCAAAGCTTCAGAGCTGGCTTCTGCATCTAATAATACACCATGCAATCTCCATTTAAGAACATTATAATATCCTGATGTTTTGGGAGATCCTTTACAAGACTGTTCAAGAAGAGCAGCAGCTCTCCAACATAAACTTGCCATGCTCTTGGCCACCCTTCTTAGTTCATTCATACAACTTTTTTCTTGGGATTTTGCAAGCTGCATGTATTTAATGAAGTATTCAATATAATCCATTGACAAATCAAAGATATTCTTTGTAATTAGTTGACTAGCAATGTGGTAGAGCTTTGTACCAATCTCATCTAAAGAAGGCACAACCTTGTGGTACTTGCCATTGTCGTGAAGTAATACCAAGTCCAATACATCCATAACTATTCCAAAAATAACAATAATAATTTATCAGAATTTGAACTGAACTTTTTACTAAATAGGTAAAACCAAACATTAACCATATCTGCATTTTAAATTTCGCATGACTTACATGTGCCATGGTTTGAAAGAGATCCATTGTCCAAAATACATAAAACATTGCCAAACAAACTTTCACTCATCAACCATTCTTCTCATGATATTAATAAAGTGTTATACATCATTACAATATCAAGCAACTGAACTATATACTTACTCATGTTGACTATTTTCATAATACCCCTCAAATCTTTGCCATCTTTGGCTGTTTTTATTGCTTCAATAGCACATCTAAGGAATTTGTTACAGAATGTACTGTACTTAGAAACGATTTGCTCGATTGTGTTACAGCCATTCGCCTTGTATTGATACCCATTCTTTGTTACTTCTGGCTCTAAAACTCTCGTTAAAGTAGCAATGTAGTTCTGTGGATAGAGGAAAAGTTGACTGACTTTAATACTTCATCAAATGAACTGCGACATTAGTCTTATTCGATTCTACAGATGAAGATATGTAGTTTATATTTGAGGCGTTTTACCTTTGTATCGTCGTAAAGACCGTCTAATTTCTTTTTCAGAAGATCATTCAATATCCTTTCACCCTCCATGATCCATTTAAGGCCCGAAAGCCAGAGTGTCAAGGATTCCCGGCCATTATGAAGTTATTTTGCACAGTTTTATAAAAGAACTGTGAAATCGATATGATGTTTTCAAACTTGAAAATGGCGCCTAATCAGTGCGCATGTCCACAGGAAACCAGAGTCTGAATAAACAGGTAGCCCAAAAAATAATTGGTGGGAACTAGCGGTAAACTAGTGTGAGCTGCGTCGGTGTTTCTAAAGAAACAGTTATGTAAAAAGATAAATTTAACACCGTAAAAAAGTATGTGGAAWAACTTACTGACGTTTCGGATGTTAATCCTTCGTCGGAGTAAAGAGGGATAGAACTAAACTAAACTATGCTCTTTACTCCGACGATGGATTAACATCTGAAACGTCAGTAAGTTATTCCACATACTTTTTTACGGTGTTAAATTTATCTTTTTACAAAAAATAATTAACCTGACGGACGCGTAGTAAGAGTAGGTAAATTTTAAAGATATTTATTATCCAAAGATAACATAATAAAAGATTTCGGGAGAATAATTAGAGAAAAATGATAATAAGAAAAAAGAATGAAAATTAAAGTTTTATTAAANATAAAAAAAGATAAACAATAAATTAAATAAAAAGGAAAAAACAAAATCATTAAACGTCTCCTCCAGGGAATCGATCCCGCTACCGTCAAACCTACATTGGATTTGCAAGCGGCGCCTTAACGCGGTGCGCCACTGGATCACTCTCATTTACATAATAATAGACCACTTGACACTTTCACCGAATAGACTACCCCAATTTGACATTATACTTTCGATAGTTGCCTAGTTAGTGCAAGGGGTTATCCATCAGTGTCTAGGGGCCGGATAGCTTCTCCCTCACTGGCTTTTTAGTTAGCGCGAAGTTAGGACCAATTATCGGGATAGCATGGAAGAGCCGAAATCTCTAACCGGAATGTAABTRGATTCGKCGCCTCAGCTTCACAGAATGTCTCGGGGGAATCGTCCCAATCTTTTTCAATGTTTTGTGCAAAGGTTCGAGTCACAGAACGGTCATGCTCTTCTTTTTTTTTCAATTACTCTTTCTTTTTTCCTTTGAATTTTGTCTCTTCTATATAGTAGTTTCATTTAATACAATATTCAAGTATGATTTTAAATATTGAGATTAATAAGTATTTATACTTATTCATCTAAATTATGCTACGCCCTTATTGACCATATAAACGAGCAGAAGACTGGTAATGAGCACATTACGTCCATGGTTTTAAACATCTGTTTTCACCGTAAGAGGAGTATATCTCAACTAGTAAATTGATAGAGTTTTTGTTTCAAATGTTGAATATCAGCAGAGTTACGAGCATTTGAAACGCAAAAAAACGTGAAGAGAGATGAAAACGCTGGCCAGGCCCCCAAACTGATTTTCACTCAAACCTTTTAAGAGCCGCTTCGTGCATAAACCAGACAAAACTGAAATTTTTTGGCAAGGCTCGAAAAATCAAAACTGTTCATATTTTGTATATTGGTAAGGTATGATTAGGTAACAATCGCTGTGTAATTGGTTTTTGAAAATATTTCATTTTTCGCAAGAAAATCGCGATTCATGTCACATACTGGGCCTTTGCGTGACAGATGCTTGATTGCTAAAAATAGCTCTCAAAATAGCCAAACTTTATACCGAGTTCATGTAAAAACTAAAATAGCTATTTTAAAAATTTAAATTGCAGCTTTCTCACTAACTCTTTGATATTTATTTCAGTGATTTTCAGACCATTTAATTAAAAGGAAAATTTTCTGGAACTCGAAATATTCTCATATGTATTTTTATATGCAAATTAGTATCTTTACAAAACGATCATTTTTTAAACGTGCAAGTGTTTTGTTTGCAATAAAATTCGGAGTGATTACTAAACAAGAGATGAGCTTTTCAAATACATAAAAATTAGCCTGGGCAAATCACTCTCAGTTGCATAGAAATGAATACTTCTGGCGATAATAATCCGTTGAAACACCAAATGTTTTAAACAACCGAAATTCATTTGCATTGCCTAAAATGTTCAAAGAAAATATGCTTAACCCTTTTTATTTCAATAACATACGTTTAATGTTGATTAGATGTTTATATCCTTTGAAAATTGTTGGGTTAATACWACTGACAAAATATGTGTTTACGCTGATAATTTTGACTGGAATAAGTCATTCCTACGCACCTGAAAGTGATTTGCCCAGACTTATTATTATTTTTTTTGTAAAGCTCATGCCTTGATTAGTTATCACGCCGAATTTCATTGCAAACAAATTACTTGCACATAGAAAAATTTTTTTTTTTCTAGGTGCTAATTTGCATATACAACTACATATGCAAACACTTAGAGTTCTAGAAAATTTTCTTTTTAATTAAATGCTCTGAAAATCAACGAAATAAATAAGAAAGAGTTACTTAGAAGGCCACAATTTAAATTTTTGAAATTACTATTTTACATTTCACACAAGCTCGGTAGAAAGTTTGGCTATTTCGAGTGCTATTTTTAGCCATCAAACATTTGTCACGCAAAGGCCCAGTATGTGACATTGTTTAGCGATTTTCTTGCGAAAAATGAAATATTTTCAAAAACCAATTACACAGCGATTGTTACCTAATCATACCTTATCAATATACAAAATATGAATAGATTTGATTTTTCGAGCCTTGCCAAGATATGTCTGATTTTTGCGCGAAGTGGCTCTTAAATTTCAAACACCTGTAATGTTAAATGTTAGAGCATTGAAACTTTCAGATCTTATTCATTGTAATGTACTCTTTCAATGGTTAGTAATGATACAATAAAAATCTTATAAGCTAAGGCGTTACGATAGCCACGCCCTTTTTCATATGGTCTATTGGAGAGTCTCAATATAGGGTTAACTGTGAGGCATAAAAACAGCTAAAATCATATCAACCATAAGAAAGTTTTAAAAAAATTTAAATCCAATCCATATCCAAATCATTTAGGCCAACACTGCAATAAACTATTTTTATTATATACAAGCATTATTCATCTCTCAGTAAAAGACATAAAATTTTCAACAATTCTGTTAACAAAATCCATTAAATTCTTGTGCTTGCGGACAACCGACGACAAAGAATCATTCACTTGATATCTTGTTAAGAGTGCATATAGATGACCAAAAACTATTGCATCCAGTTCTGTAGGCCTAAAAAAAGATTTAGTTACCATCACAGTAAGCAATCAAAGTAAAATGTGAAAAGGTGCTAATCGAGAATGATATTCCTACTGAGATGACATAGAATTTTTTTTGTACAAAGAAATGAATGAGAARGACTGCAAATGGGACAGTATGAGCATACAAAAGAAAAGTTAAGTATGAGAGGAAAAATGGGGATTTGGAGAGAAATTCAAGAAAAGTCAATGAAACATTTTTTATACCTGTCTTGCATAAAATAATTGTGATCTCCAAGTTTTTCTGATAATGCTTGGCAACATCGTTTGAACTCTTCTATTACCTATCAGTATGTAAAAAGTATGCAATGTCATGGGTGATCTCAAATGGTAATAGTATTAGCTTTAATGGTCCAAGGGGGACAATGAGGGTGTAAAGTACACCAAAGTATATGCAGGTGAAGAGGGATCCATCCTAGAAAACCAAGAGTGCAAGAAATCTTTCAAAACTAAAACTGCATCTTTTCTCCATATGTAATAAGTAAAGATATTGATACCTCTTGCTCAGTCTTCAGATGCCAATTAATTGCTCTAAGATAACTCCAAACTGACCATTTCTTCTTATAGCTCAGTATAACATTGAGAGGAAGAGGATATTGATTGCCATATTGGTGACGGCTACGTAAACTCCAATCTTTGTTGCACCATAGCATATGAAGCTAAAATAAAAGTAATAAAAACAATGTGTTTGTCATATTATGTATAATTTAAACTATTACCATAAAAATCTACTGCAGACACTTTTGAATTACAGGGTCATAGCCAGAGTGAACGGATAACCGAGGCAAGCAACCACCAAAGGCGGGAGGAACTATGGGGGTTCGAAAATTTGAAATTCAGTCTCTTTGAAATGTGATTTGCAGACTGGAATTTAGCATGCAATAACTGGAATTTAGCATGCAATATTTATGAAACAAAGAAGCTATATGTTCAAGATTTATATTATTTTTATGTTTTTTGCACATAATCAGTCGTACGAAATCGACTCTGAGAGGCTAAGATGAAATCAGTGATGAAAAACAAAAAGTATTTGCGAAATTTTACTGAGTCAAGTACCTTGGTTGACGTCTTACTAGCTACTGCCCTGAATGATATCCCTATCATTTTTGCTTAATTTGTGCTAGTAGTAAAAGTAGGAATAAATCTCCACTGGTAGGAGTTCTTTAACAAGTGCCATTTATAGAGGACTGTGGATAGTAGTTACCATGGATACTGCCTGGTCACCAAGGAAAAGTATTTTTGTTGGGAAGCTTTAAAGCATATAGATCTAAACTACCAATGAATTTAAACCTATTGGATACTTTACCTCTGCTGGAAGTAATGACATTTCCACTAAAGATATATAAGCCATCATTTCTGCCTTTTCTTGAGGCTCTAAGTCATTGCTTGTAGATAAACCCTGGAGGATAACAAATTAATTCCTATTCTTTAGCAAAGCCATCAGTTAATATTACCTTTCATGATACACATTTAATGTGGGAAAACAATAATGAGTTTTTTTAAGTAATTTGCCAATGATTGCCATATTTATATTACAACTTGGGCTTTCAAAAATTGTAACGGATTGGAGTATTGGAGTTTTTGAAGCCACATAAAATACTAACAGCACTTATTTTACAAATAAAACATAATTCATCCATTAAAACCTACTTTGTTCTGGACATAAGAAAATACTGCTTGTGTTCCTCCAGCTATTTCTTTTTTAGCTCTTAGCAACGGAACTTCACCTATAATAGGACAGACCAGTGATTAGCAGACAAGATGACTGTGCTATCAATAGATTTTATAAATCATAAACAAAGAAACCAATCCTCACCATTTGGTGACATAAATTCTGCATTTTGGCAAAATTTTGAAGTATATGGAAGTCTGCAAAACTTTAAGTAAACCTAAAAAAAAATAATTCAAGGTGCATGATTTTTATCAAAGTTTTTAAACCTACTGGTTTATGGTTACCTCAACACTAGTACACTTTGCTGCATCTGTAAGTAGCATGTTGCCTATGAAAAAAGAAAATGTTTTGGACAAATAAATATACATGAATATATATACCAAAAATTGTAATGGAAAACATCCCGACAAAACTTCTTTGTCAAAAATATTGTATTTGTGGATATTTGTGAAATCCAGAACATTACTGACTTGCACATCCTTGCACAGCAGGAATTTCAACATCTGTCCCAATGCACCCCTTCCTTATATTTTTCACATTTTACCCTGGGTATCTGCCAGACCGCATCCATTCAAGTATGACACGTGATGGTCGCAAAATAAAACTTACTTTTGTCTGGCTGATAAAGTTCAACATCTTCTGGCCACTCTCCAGGTTCTGTTGCTATAGAAAAATGGAACAAAATCACTAGACAAAAAGATCAAATGAAATAGTAGAGTCTTGATTGGTGAATGAACACAATGACGATATCTTGATCTATCGATCACTGTTGATTCGATAAACAWTGTTGAAATGATAAAAAAGTTGGTTTTACAAAGCAGTCATGAAAGAAATCTTATAAGCTTAAGTTCAGAGGTGATATTTTTCAATCATTGCCATGGACCCTTGCCCCCGCACAAAGCACGCTTTCGCCATCATGCACGTGATAGTCTAATAGATATCAATAGTGCTTTAAGGAAGATCAATTAGATTTTGAAATAAGTTAACAAGCTTATAGTAAACGGCTAGCTAAAGTGTAAAAGAATAGATTGATGAGCACATTACCAAAGGCTGTCAAAACGGCCTCCATGACTGGTCCTCTTGCAGAGGCCATATTTTGCATCACCACTAAACTATTCTTGTTTAATACATCAAAACAAAAGACAACAAACAGTGTATTCCTCTGAGTGCATTCAAATGAAACCTGAAGAGAGATCTAGAAAGACATCCTCACGTTCCTGCTTTAGGGTAAATACTTGGTGTAAAAATATATTTTGTCATTGTTCATACTAGTTATGTTTAGAGTCACTGCGATTTTACTACATGAAGAACTTAGCTGAATCCACAGAAGACTGGTAACTAGTTCAAAAGGGTTGGTTCAAAGTCCATATTTGTCGGCGGTTTCATGTTTCTGTCAAAATGCGATTTTAGTTCGTGTGTCGATCAAGTTTCAATTTCACAACATTGCTTGGAGAAACAACATACACTGGCTTTACTCGCACGTTTAGATTTGTTGGTCGATCGTTTAGAAGCCGATGAGTTCGTTAACCGGGAATATTCCTGAAGAAAATGTCGAAAATCATCCGCCCTCGACATTGCTATGCACAAACAACGGCTCTTTTCCGGATGCAAAATCATCCAAAGTCAAACGAAATGACTACTTGAAACAGAGGGGTAGAAGAAAGAAATGGTGGTACTTAAATCGGTAAGTTGTTTATCCGAAGTAATATTATTTTTTCGTTGCGGGATCTGTAAGAGATAAAAGTAACTCTATAATTTACAGTAAAGTGCCTTTGTATAAATGCATGGCGGCGTGGTCTTTGTAACGGTTTGTAGTGAAGGTATTTTTCTCAATACTTCAAGTATWTCATCGCATTTAGAGGAATGTGCTCTATCTACTTTGCTGTTAATTGTCATTCAGCAAGTTTCTTTTGGCACYTTGTTTGAGTTTATTGATTTCATGCTGAAGCCCTGGATTTCCGCAACGATGAATCAAATTGTGTTATCAATATGAGTAAACGTGACAAATCAATGGGTCGTTCCCGTTTCTTTATTAGAAAACACTGAAGCTAACCTTGAATCATAGTAACTGTGCTTCAACTTTGCATTCATTGAACATTTTGAAAGATTTTCTCGCATATTCCATGTTGTGCTGTCACCAAATATTGGCCTTTCCAGAAGTGATGATATCAATAAACACGATCATGTGCATCCAGCGTTTCTATTAATTTTTACTCTCCTTTTTTATAGAGTTTTTGTATTTGAATGATTGCCCATTTACGTAAATTTCACTTTCTTTTCTAAAAAGATGTACCTCCATAAATTCTAGAAATTTATTCTTCTCGACTCGCCCCTCCCCTACATGATTCATTGCAAATGCATTGAAAGCACTTTCTTGAGTCTGAGCAAACGATGTGGAATGTAGTCGATAATTCTAGTTTTTTCGTTGTTGCTGTTCAAGTGCGTAGTTTTGGTAAGAAGTCTGTCTAGCCACATCATAAATTATTAAGATGCAATTGATGCCCAGGGTTTTAACAATTCCTTGTTTCAAACCAATAACGTTGCAAAATTCAGTGTAAATAGTTCCTATAATATTTTTGTTGTTATTGATGCATTTTGTCGATTGCTCAAGATGTTTTTGTTTTTGTTTTTGTTGATGAAATCAACATTTATGCACTGTGGACTGGATAAACATTTACCACAGAATCTTKTTGTTTTAAATATTTCATAATCAGTGGAACAATATTGTGTTGTTATAGAAATACATGCTGCTAGAATCCAAATCAGTTTGAAATAATTCATATGTGAGCAAGTAAAGGCCTGTCAAGGTCTGCACTTTTGCCAGCAGCATCCATTTAGAGGTTTATGTTGTAATCTGTCAATCAAGTTATCAAGTAGCACTTAGTGTTGACAGGGAGACTGCAAAGATTGGCTTTACACACAAGTAGATTATTAAATTAAAAAAAATCATGGGGATTATGATTTTTGAATAATTGTACAATGAATTTACTAATATATCCACCCAATTACAAGAACCGTGTCATTTAAATATTTAAACAGAAAAATAACATATGCAAATATACAAAGAGACTAGTTCGACCTGAGTGATTTTCTTTTGTCTTCAAAAAAATTTAGTTCTTTTTTTATATGACAATGTTCTTATAATGGTATTAGGTTTACTTAGCCAAAGGATTTTTTATTTCTTTTTTTTTTTCTTTTCGTTTATTGGCTGATATGACTATCAAATTATTTTCATGATGTCAAAAAAATGAATTTGAAGGGGATACTTGGAATGTGACATTTAACCAACATTTGGCAAAAATGCAGTTTTAATATGCAAGCTATAAACTGTTGCTTAATGTTATGTGGTTTGTTTTTTAGGGGTTTACAACCAATATATGAAGCAGGTGAAAATACTGTACCTTCTGAGAATATCAACAGCGATGAGTATCTAAACATCAAGAACAACACCTTAAATAACGATGACACATCATCAGACATCATCAGTAACATCAACCAATCCAAGGAATCATACAGTCCTTGTTTAAAAGTCATAGAAAAGTTCCAAGAAATTGTTATGGACAGTGCTGTTAGAGTTATTCAGGCAGCATTCAAAAGGTTTCGGGAAAGACGACGGTTTTTAAGGATAAAGAAAGCAGTTATGGTCATTCAAAGGAACTTGCGGAAATGGATTCAAGCGCGACATCCTTGTTTAAGACCAGCAGAATTTAATAGGCAATCCTCAGATAGTGCAAAATCTGATGAGTATATAGAAACAAATAATCAGATTGTAGATGACAAGAACTTGGATGAATCAGACAATAATCACATGGAGGAGCCTGTACATCTTGCAGAATGCAAAAAAACGAATGCACATAATGCAGATGAAAAGCAAGAAACTGTATGCACCGGCAGGTCAGATACATGTGAGTTTAAATCCTTAGAATGCAGAGAGGGAAATGTAATGGAACATGCAAATGAAATCAAGGAAAKGTGCAATGACAATATAGGAACTATAGACTGTTCAATGGATCAAAAAAATAATATCAAAACAATTGATGACAATTATAATGAAGAGACATGCAAGGCTGATGAAATAGTTACTACTACTCTAGCGACTCTTGAATGTAAAGGTCAAAATGAAGACAGTATTATTTATAAAAATGGTGAAAGTACCAATCAAGATGTGACTTTGGACCGTCACTAAAGTGACCAAAGCACTGAATTGCAAGATATTGATGATGGCTAACAAGAAAAGCAGCAATGTGATGAAGAAATTAAATTACATTCATTACAAAGTGATGATGGAATTCATAATACATCAATTGTTGAGGCTCTGCCAGAATCTGAGCAGAACAATTTAATGGTAATATTTACAGCAACATAATTAGGAATATTGTAGAAACTCCTCATGAATGAATGAATAAATAAGAGGAGAATATAAATGAATGGGATTTCTTATGAATTAGGTTGAATCTAATTCCTAAAGAATATCCAGAATATTACTTTATATGGCTAGAAATTGTCAAAATGCTTTTAGAAGTTAGTATTTCAGTCTTATTTGTTTAAACTCTTACTTTTATACTATGAACAGCTTGATCAATCTATTTCTATTTTTATACCAAAAGTTAAAAAACAGCCATATTGTGCACACATTTATTTCGTTGTAAATTAGACCAGATGGTAAGAAATCCTTACCAAAAGTAGATCTATGAAATGCAGTTATGGTTTGTAATATAGTATGTTTATACAAACATTGCTGTATTCATTTTTATGAAGATATTGATTAAAGACAATTGTGCAGTGAAAATTATTTGTCTGTGTATCTAAACCATAAAAACATTCTCACATTCAAACTCATTATGATCGTTAATCAATGTGAGTTTGCATTTAATAATTGTATTGGGTAATATAGAGTACACAAACATTAAATGTGAGCAACACTTTCCACTATTTACTACAAAATAGTGTTAATTAAACAATAGAAAACAATAGAATTAGCATAATTTAGCAGTATTTAGTGGTATTTATGTTGCACAGTTTTAGTGTTTGTACTCTAATTAAAACAGGCTTTTCTTTCTTGATATCACCAGCATTGAAGGCCAACATTTTGAAAACACATTTGATATCAATAGCAGCAACTGCCCTTTTTTTACTCTTTACTCCGACGAAGGATTAACGTCCGAAATGCCAGTAAATCTTTTACGGTGTTAAAATTTATCTTTTTACACAACTTTTTTTACTCGCCTAATTTTACCATTTTTGCCTAGTAAACGCTCTAAGCGCTTACACGGATCTAATGGCTACCGGATTGATACGATTCTTTTTCCTTGATTCATGACAGCTAAAAGTCGTCGAATCCTCTGATGTTTACTCTTGCCTCCATTAGTGGGGTTCCTGTGCCCTACCTATAGAGGGCGTGGCATAGTTTAAGTCAAGAGCGCGTGTAGATGTTTTAGTTCTTTTGATTTTCATGGAATTGAGAACCTTATAAATGGTTCTTTAATTTGAAAATAAAAAAAAAGAGAATGATCATGACCGAGCTGGGACTCGAACCCTTGCCCGAAAAATCGAAAAAGTTTGGGACGATTCCCCCGAGACATTCTGTGAAGCTGAGGCGTCGAATCGATTTACATTCCGGTTAGAGATTTCGGCTCTTCCATGCTATCCCGATAATTGGTCCTAACTTCGCGCTAACTAAAAAGCCAGTGAGGGAGAAGCTATCCGGCCCCTAGACACTGATGGATAACCCCTTGCACTAACTAGGCAACTATCGAAAATATAATGTCAAATTGGGGTAGTCTATTCGGTGAAAGTGTCAAGTGGTCTATTATTATGCTAATGACTGTGGTACAGTGGCGCATCACTTTAAGGCGCTGTTCTTTCAATCCAAAGGATCCGGGATCGACCAGGTTCGAATCTAGCTCAGACATCCCCTTTTCCAAAGTTTTTTTTCTTTTTTCTTTTGCGTTTGTCATTATCTCATTTTTCGCAAAATTAATTCGGTTACTTGTTTTGTCCAGTCCATGTATTTTATTGATTATATGAACTGATTTGTAACAAAAAATACAAAATTAAATGAAAGGCCATATCACACAATTCCAAATCTCATTTGATTTAGTTAATACATTCAATAAATCATTCTTCACTAGCTACACAACAATAAAATCGCAATGAAATCTATTTTCCATTTAGGTCGTCAATCACTTGCGTTGAATGTCTGGATCTTGTGAAAACGCATTACTCTTTTTGTCTAAAACACTATATACATGGTACGTTTACATCCGTTTTCATCACAGAATTCCAGGATTTTTAAAGTACAAGAATTTGATTTTAGAGGACTACTATATAAGATATTTTCAATTTCAGGAAAAGTTTTTCAATGATTTTACAGTAATGCTAACCCTAGTTGTATATCGACATGATTAGGATTTCTGAGTTACCCCGAAACACTTCTAGAAAACGTTTTCTAATTTTTTTGATTCAAAGTCACCGTTTCACAACCATTCAGTCCCGACAGTTTCTTGGCAGTCTTTTATCACTCGTCTTGTATATTCTCAGTCTTGACAAAATAGACTCTTAGTGAACAGAACCCGTTGTGATCGTGTATATTGTTCAAAGTTTTCTCTCTGTTCGTAGTCAGTTTTTTATAGAAAGAAGTTCGTCTTTTTTCCAGATACGACGTCACAGCGTCAAGAATATCATCCCTGTTTGTTAAACAAAGGAATGCACAAGATGATAGTGGACGCAATGGCATAAGCAGATGTGAAAATCCACAAGAACAGATAATCAATGATAGTCGCCGCTAACTTGCTTTCTTTGATCTTTTGATCTTCGCGTTCTTTTAATGTCAGGGTTTGGGTGATTTCGCGATCATCGTGATCCACAGTATGATGGTCTTTGTTTCGTTTTCCATAGTGATCATTTATGTTATCCATGACATGGAGCATCAGACTTTCTGTGGGGTTGTCACTGTTTCCTATGTTGGCTTCCAGGTACTTGTAGGGTGTGCTGGAAGACTGGCTATTACCATTGCGCATCATGTCAGAGTCAGTCATGTCATTACTCGGTGATGGTGAGGTAGCCTGTCTGCAACACTGGCATCCGCCGTACGTTATTGACGAGGGATTGGGGCGAGGCTTGTTTTTAGTCTTTGTACAAAGCATCTTTGCGACGTCAAATCCCAGCCACGGTCCGATGTATTTAAAAATGAGAGTTTTGGACCTGGAAGATAGTCCGTTCCCAAACAAATAGCTGTAATTAATCCTTAGACTGACTGCAGTTGCCGCTAAAGCCAGGAAGACTTCAATGATTGTAAACGTGTAATATATTCCAATAACAGGCACAGCTTCAGAAGTTGGAGGAATACTCTCAGCAATAAGTAACATAAACACCGTCATGCTAAGTAAAACTGTGATCACAAAAGATATTCTTTCACCTGATTCCACGGGAATAAAGAAGGAAAAGAATGCCAACAGAGCAATCAAAATATTCGGTATTACGAGGTTGACAAGAAAGAATAGTGGTTTTCGCCTCATGTGAATTATGAATGACAGTTCAGGGTATGGCGAACCAGGACAACATTTGTAATAGTGAACCGTTCGTTTGATCTCCACCTTAAGTACATCCCACTCGCCATTAGGAACTCTTGTCTTGGCAATACGTGCGAGTTTTTTGTCGTTTATAATGTTAACTTCGTTCCCATCATATTGCCACGATCCAAAGTTCAATGCACATAGTTGGGTATCAAAAGGGAAGTTTTTCACATCAATTTTGCACAATGTTGAAAAGATATAGGGTACAGCCCAGTACGTCATTCCCTTGCTATCTATACGAACACGTGTGAGTCTTTGATCCAGGTGTACGGTATTTGTTTCGTCATTGATACTGATGACAGAAAATGAGATATTAACAGGAAAGTGAGTGAGTGAGTGAGTGAGTGACAGATTTGTCTCCTCAACTATTCGATTACTTTACGCTCCGAGTTAAAACGAGACATGGAGACTTACTTGTTATACAGTGCAATATCAGGCAGCCATAATTTACGGGAATCCACGATTAATGAACCCAATCCCCCATAATGGGAAGTATTCCACTTGAACAGAGGATTCGCCCAATGCTACAAAATACGAAAAAATCATTTACTAAATGTACTAGAGTTGTTTGAGATTTATTTCATTTTATGATTCCTGTCAAAATATCACACTTGAGATTTCATCTTTATAATTTTGATTTTGGGACGTCATTGAGTTTTTATTATTGTTATTCAGGGTTCGTGTTATTTTTTTATCACAAAATTCCAGGACTTTTCAATTACCTTTAAAGCACAAAAGTCCGATTTTCAAGTGCTACTTTTTAAATCTCATTTGACGTTTCCTCATTTAAATAATCGTTAAAAATAACATGTACACTGCAACAGATATAAGTAGTGTTTTTTTCCTCTTTTCAAGGCTTTCTCAAGTGCCCTTAAGAAACGAATTTCCAATTTCAAGGATTCCGAGTAGCACGAACCCTTTTATTGTTTAGAAAATCCGTCGTGTATTTTATTTCTCTATGGCTTCATTTATTATCAACGAATCGTGAGATGTATCATGATGTATTTCACATATATAGATTAAAATGATGCCACATTTCTGTAGTTGTTTTTCGACCATAACTATCTTATACTTTGTTTGGAATCAGTTATACTAAATGAGACGAAAGTTCAGTGATTTCAGTTTCGCTTCAATTTGTTTTTAAAAACGTTATACCATGACACTCTGTAATTCATGATTTCTTTCTTTCTTGTTTATGCGGCATCGTTCAAAACGTCCATCTTATTTTCTATTACAAAACTGATCAAAGACAATGGTCGAAAAACAACTTCAGAGAACCATCTCAGTCTGAAATCCAGTAACTCCAGATAGTATGTTGGTATTATAATAACAGCAAACATTACAAAGCAAATAGTTGGCACAACAGTTTACTTTAGAGTGCGTAGTAGTTACCTGTCTAACCCAAATGCTTGATTTTAGAGATTGAAATTTCTCGTTCTGAAATACAACATCATTGACATTGTTTAATTGTTATTCATCAATCTTTAAAATGTCATGATAACAAACACTGTGTTTGCATTTTATTCATTTATCAAAAAGCTTTTCCTCCCTCTCAAACGTTTTTCGAAATTCCCAAATATGAACATAACTGATAGATTTATTTGCAAAACAACCTATCGCGTGAACCATGGGTAATGTCATGTGATTTTCGCTCTTCTCTCACTATAAAACCATAAACCATTCGAATTAATTTGGGATTATGTTTATTAGAGGTTATTTAAGTATAATCTGCAGAATTATGACGAATTAAGGGTTTAAATTTGAAATATCAGCTAACTATAGATATATTTATAGATTTTCTACTATAATTGCTGTTATTTGACACTGAAATAACTGAGAATCATTAGCTACAATTGTTATTTTAACAAATAAAATATAGAGGGTATTACTGAGGGGATACGCACTTAATCTTGTAGTGTTGAAAAAATCTTTCACGAGTGAGCGAAACGATAAAAAGATATAATTATCCCTGACACTTCTCACTAAAATAATACCGCACTCATGGTTCCTCTATATTTGAGGTTATAAAAAAAATATTTTAAATTATAGTTTGCTTTCATGGATAATAACAAGATAACATATTATAATGGTCGATTGAAAATACGGATTTCAACTTTTCGTGTTAAAGCATTTTCAATGCTCTCTGACAAGATTAAATCCGCCTATCACAACGCGCCAATGTTATGCGTTTCGAACTAATAGTCGTAGGACAATGCTAAACAATGTGATTCACGACGCTTGAGGAAAAGAAAATACTTACTGGGAAAGATAAAATGGTTGATAAATTTCCGTGATAAAACAACTGAGCATGATCAATTAGCCAACAAGTAAATAGTTTCTGCTTTACTTAATCAAGTAATGTCACCACATATAACAATTTAAATAAACACATCAAAAGACTAACCAATGTGGTTTTTTGGTATTTAAGTTAACAATTATAATATCAGAAAAAAATTTGAATGTGTATGTATGGACGATTTTGTTGTTTCAATTTAAACCTGTCATTTTCAAGGGTCGGCGGAAGGCAAGGCAATTGATCAACCTCAAATAGCTATAAAGAAAATCTGGTCTCGGTGTGGTTGGCTTTAATGAAAAAGCCAGAAACATATGTTAAAGTCAAAAAACGAACTTTAATCCAAAACGCCAACAGAGCGTTAAATGCTAACGATTTTATTTTGCGACATTAATTAAACGGACGCCTGAATATTTTAAATCCCGTTTCCTGGGTTTCGGCAACCACTGACAAAAATTATTGCGGCTAAGCAAGGAATAAAATGGTCATTGTATACTTGATAAGAAACGTCTGAATTGTCAAAACTCGTTACAAATAGACTTTTTATCTTTTGGAAACACGATGAATTTCTCTTCAACAGGTCGCAGTGCATTTTCATCACTTGAATCTAATTACAAATTGGCATGGCATCAACTATTTGCATGCTTCTTAAATTATTTTTTGGAGATAAACGTTTGCAAATCGTATACTCGAATAGAATTCAGATGAAACCTTTGAGTTGTAAATGTTATCCACGAGTTACAACTACAGCCTCTATAATCCCCCCGATACTCCGTCATCAAGGATGAGCGAGAATTGTAATGATTCATCTATCTGTAATCTGCATTGCGCGTTATCAAAAGCTCCTGACACTGAGTAGAAATCATGCATATCTTACCAGATCAATGATGTTATTGAAGGTGATGTCAAGTGTCACATTGACGGAATCTTTCGCATTGATGACGGGACGGATCTTTGAGGAGTATTTTTCAATAATCTCGCGAAGTATCCGGTCCTCGTGATATGCAGCGATTTCTGGTGAAGAATGTACATGAGAAATAAAGATAAGCAGCTTCTTTTCAATACATGTGTACTTGCTGTACAATTGTCGATCATTCTAGAGTATGCTGACTTTTGCCACAAAAACCGATATCTTTTCCCTTTGAGAGATCGTCAGGAAGCATATTTTTGAACAAGTGGTTCATGAATACATTCAAAGTATGACTTTGTAAACCGCTTAATCTCTCTCACTACATGTTCTTCTCGTTGAATAGACACAACCATGTTTATAGTTAATAAAGACATTGAAATAACGCATGGTTGAATAAATGATTTACACTTATCATTGTTCTTTGACTAAAAACGATCGAAGATCAGTTTACTGCTTTTTAACAAGAAATATTTTCAGCTTTATATTCTTGCTATATCATCACGAAAAGGATTGAAATAATAGAAATTCTTTATTCCAATATACGATATCATTACTGATCATTCATGTCGCTTGTTGTGTAAAGTGCTGATACTTTTTAGAATTCGCCGAATTATTTGTGGCTATTTTCCATATTTCACAGCGCGAAGATATACATTTTGTTCCCGGTAAAACTAATGGTCAACACTGTCAAGCAGATTCACCACAAATAATCCATCCTGAGTTCGGCCATTCTCTGCAAGACACCAACAACATGCCCTGCTATATTAACTAAAACGAACAGGCAGTTCTTTTTGTGTCATTTAATGGTTGTGAACATGGTTACTCAGGTTCGTCTATCTCATCAGTAGCCGACTATCTTAACTCATTGCTTATCAAAATCGACAATTGAAAAAAAAAGGTTTATAGAGAGATCACAGCAATAATACTTTCACCAGAAAGCTCGAAAACCTTGACTCGCTTATAAAACGAGCAACTCTTTTACATTAACAATATTTGAGTAAATATCTGTCCATTGGTACAAAATTCACATCCCACTTTTCCTTCATTGAGGCGAAATCAATTACCAACAAGAAACTATTTATTGTCCTTCTTTCTATTTAGTTCGTTGTAGTTTTCATCGAGAAAGTCACCTTGCCAGAAGAGTTTGATATGGTTTTTGTGGATTTGTATAAGAATTCTGAGTGACAAGCAGAAGTTAACTGATCCGTACCTACCTTTCGCATGTATGTTCAAAATATTATCAACACTGAGCATAAAAGTGATAAATATCGCAATAAGCAAAGTTGGATCTCTTCGGTACATATTGGTAATAGATGTTGATCAATCTAGACTTCGTTGAAAGAATACAACATTCCTCGTTGGTGATCTTGAGATTATCCACTCGATGTTCTGTGTATTGTGGTGATAGGAGCTTGCGAGGTCCTGGTGAACATTGAATTAGAATAGTATCATGAACTATGATAATCGAACTGTCAATCTTAAAATGCATGCGTGACAGCCATTATTAAGTGGAAAGCGAAAGAAAATCCTTCAATTGCGTATTAAAAAGAATTGAATTATTGTTATTGTTTGTTACTGTGATTGTTTTACGTAAATATATGCGGGGAAAAAAAAGATTGCATTTCAGCAGACAACAGCAATATGGGTAAAAACCAGTCAAAATGTGGTTTTCTCGTATATAAAAGAAATAATTATTATTAACTGAACTCACGCACTAGATAACACGGAATGTTGTTTAGCCTATACACGGCGCCATGAATGCATTTTATATTCCTCAACTGGTAAAAACAAAAGTCATACCATCTCGTCTTGTATGGCAAGATAAGAAGAACCATTTTTGATTCTGTGTGAATAATAGGCTAATCGACCACAAATTAGGTGACATTAAAGCAATTGGCCCTAAACGGAATTCTTTATTATTCTCCAATTATTTGTCAAAAATAAGATTAAAGGCTTATGGGAAAACTTCATAACCTGCTGGTACTTATCATTGTGATTTCTTTTCCCGCCATTTTGTGTTGTTAATGTATATCGTCACTATAGGACAATACATCATAGATTTTCTATTTAAAAATAGAATCATACTAGGAGCACGAGACAACTTGGGATAACTATAATCGTCTCTAAGAATCCACTTCAAAATTTCAGGCTAAAATATCTCTCGAAATTTCTCGCAATGAAATTTTTCTTTGAGATTGTTCGCTATAAGAGTGTACGATTGATTGTACGCTGTAAGATTTCTCACTTTGTACAGTCTTGATGTATCATCCAGGTTTCGGTACTCCCACGCTAGCCGTCAGGAAAAATTATCCTTTGATTCTATCACTTTGTAAAAACGAAACCACAAGCAAATCCAGTAAATAATCAGATGCGTCCTGAAAGGCCCTGAAGATTGCTATGAAAGTCAAAGCGGTCATTGAAAATGATATTTTATAATTCCAGGGAGTATTAATTTCCCGTATAAAAAAACGCCAAGATCTATCACCCTGAGATGTTCCTCTTTTAACAATTCTTATCTATAATGAAAATGTAAAACTAAAAACATAAAAAATAAACGTTGGATTGGTGATCGAAACTAACTAGTTTTAAAATGGTCCAAAAGATGCGATCTGCACAAGTGGTTAACGATATAACGAAAGTCAAAGGAATGTAGATAAACATGCGACATACATACCGCGGTGGGGTTGCGGAAAACCTAAAGACCCTGTTGCAGACTTTCTTCTGGCTCATTAGCCTTACACTGTGCAACACCGAGCCCTCTATGATTAAAACTATTATGTAACATGGTCATGACACCGAGCAGTAACGATGCGGTAACATGGCCTGGGGTAATGAAACAATACCCTTCTTACACAGTGCAACGTGGTAGAAACGTTTTACGCAATGACAAGTTTTGAGTTGCATTATTCACAAGAAAGGTCCAGCAACACCACCTTAATTTGTGCTGATAAACTTCATTGCGTATTGTCTGTCATACCTACCACTTTGCTCACGGAATCTTTCAGCTCGGCTTCCACCTCGAGTGATATAAAGAATTGCTTAGCTTTCAAGCAAACTGATCACTTTTGAATGCTGACCTTGAACTCCTGATCAATTATTCATATTGAAAGATTGTTACAACTTGCTTTAGTTACAAAAGCCGCAAGCTTTATGTCACATTATAGCACTCTGCGAATAGAGTTAGGGTACTCAGCACGTAAAATCGTGACCACGACTATTATCCATATACTATACAAAACACATAGACTGGAAAGAAATCACAATGACCATTTATAATTCATGAAAATGTTGATTCTAACTCAAGTATCTCAAGGCCAGCATATCATTAGAACCCCTGATTTTACAATCATGGAATTGGCTGATTTCTATCGAGGAAGTAGATGATTTCCCAAAACTGAAGTTTCTGTTCCTGGATTCACGTGATAATATACTCGTTATACATCGTATATACTAAATAACGAACGACAACAATGCTTTCTTGTTACAAACCGACGCTGGTGGTCTCCATTGATTTATTGGAAACGACCGAACGTCAGCTACCTTTGATTAAAAACTTAAATTTTGTCATTGTTTGTCTGTGAGTCATTAAAAAGAACTCCTGGTTGTGTCAATTGGTGCATTGTCTGGGAACGCCCATCCTTTAACATAGCTGTGTACCTTATAGTATGATTGTAACCATATCATGTACTCGATGAAGACGATGTCTGATTTAAACACTTTAACATCACTTAGTCTTGATCATATTTTCTAGTCAGTTGCAAGCGTGAAACCCTGTAAGAGACACACAAGAAAGTTAAGACTCGTGTCTTCGTTAAATATGTCTGTAAATCGAGTAAAACAACATATCTTTGACCTGCTGGGATGGTTGGAATGAGATAGTGTGATCTTTGTACTGGAATTCTAACCTGGCACATGGATGAAAATCTAATCAGGCGTCTATTCTCTTCTTTGCATAATTGTTTGTTCAGTCAACGGGTGGAATGTTTTGTTTAGATAAGACACTTTCCTAATTCGTACTTGAAAAACTTGTTTTATAAAGGTTTTAGAATTTTTTAGTATCTGAAAAATGCTATTATCAAATCAAGACTTTATAAAGGCTACGCGATGGTTTTAGATGAATTCCCAATTGAATGCAAACTCTTTTGTCTTCGTTTCAGACTCAATATTGCAAACACATAGAGTAGAGTGCATGTCATAAATGTGTGAAACAATAGCGTAACTATTTTTTAGGCGTATCGGTATTAAGTTGCATAGCTGCTAACTTCGTAGTTATTTTCTTCATATAAGAATTGATTCAGGCGTAAAAACAAAGACACAAAGAAATGTCTATCTTTGATTTCTTTGTGTCTTTGTTTTTACGCCTGAATCAATTCTTATATGAAGAAAATAACTACGAAGTTAGCAGCTATGCAACTTAATACCGATACGCCCAAAAAATAGTTACGCTATTGTTTCACACATTTATGACATGCACTCTAAAACCAACGTAATGGCAGTAATTGATAACGACATAATAGAAAGTTTCAACCTGGTGTTTATTCGTTTATAAGTACATTATTAGCATATTGATGATTTCAAGCTCGTTTTTGCCAGCGGAAACAAAAGACGGAATGATTTGCACGACCAATGATGTACTGCGCGCGAATGTTTTCATGATCTATAAAACTTATCTTTTAAAAATATATATATATATATCACAGACGAATGCAACAGTAACGGCCGAAATCTCTCCAACATCTCTGTGAAAGATAACCTGTATCCTATCTAAATTCTGCATAAATGATTTTCCTGGTCGCTGAAAAATCGCGTGCTTGTAGTTTTTAAAATCCCCCACAGGCACTGGAAAAAATCACGCGCTTTAAAGATTGTTGTTTAATGGAAATCATTTACATCAAATTTACAGAATTTTGGACACTTACATCATATTTACATCAAATTTACAACCTTTAAAGCGCGCGATTTTTTCCAGTGAGGGGGCCAGAGCTCAAAACCCGGGGAGACACGAGGTCCCATATATACGTAGTTCTCGGTCTTCGGTGTCGAAAACCCGAGAAATTCTCCAATTTGATCCGCGGTGCGCGCTGAGGGCTACCATGAGGTTGGAAGGCGAGTTGGAGTTTCAACTGAAGTTTTAAAAATTAACAGATTACAAAACGTATAAACTGTACGACTTTTGTTATATGAAATATCTTGGTAAATTGAAAGACTTCATTGTCCGATCTATAAACGTCAGAGAGTTAAAACAAATGAAAGTTGATCATCAATTTTGATTTCTTTGGTTTTAGCTAAGGCTGCAAAGTCACTTTGAGTATTCCATTGTTCAGTATTTGAATTTGTTATATGAAATAATCTTGATTTGTAAAATCACCGACCAAGACATCGAAAATGGAATCATTTGGCTGGCATATTAGTAGTTAAAAATGTCATGTCTCTATTTTACAATTATTGCCAAAAAACCTTGGACCATAGAATTATTTTTTCCCGCTCCAGCCTAACATTTTTCTCATTTATTTTTTCACAGTTCTCTCCCTTAGCCCCCTTTCATTAATGTTGGTTCATCGCATTTAGGGCGGGGGTTGCTAGGAGGTTTCTAGGGGCTTAAATTGTTTGCTGGTGTTGCTCAAATTAGGGAAATGTACTTGAATGGTTCAAGGACTTTGGCAACGATTGCAGATATCAAATATCAACGAGGGCAAATTTAGTGAGAAGTATTACTAGTTGGATTAATATTGGCTCGCGTCTGCAATCCCCTCAGTTATCTCAAGCGAAACAAGATGTGTAACCATTAAGTCGATAACAGACGAAGAAGAAATACCAAAACATCACAACGAACTGGCTAAAAGTTCTCACTAATGTCCTCAGTCATAAAATTATCGTATTAGCCCACACAGAGAAAATGTTTTATGGACGAATAATAAACCACGTGGTCATTAGCAATAAACCCCGCCTACCCAGTAAAGAAACAAACCAACTTTGATATGAAAACTTATTTCCAGTATATTACCCTAGACAAACGAAGATATTATCCAAAATAAACCCGCGTGCGTTGATTGTAGCCTAAATAGGGTTCTCCATATATATTGTAGTAGGCATCCGTCTATCTCGTGAGATAATGGTAGCACCATATTAAAAAGGTCAGTCAGTCCTGTTGCGAACAGCGTCTTAAGTGACTCAGCAGACCAATCCTTGCATGACAGTCTTTTCCGCACAGGTCACAAGTAAACTCGGAGGGCGTGATTGGGGCTGGGGGTTGTTGTCTCAGCTGTCTCTGCTTTCTACGTTGTCTTCTTTCCTCTGACTGTTGATTAAGCTTTTCCTCGCCCCTTTTGAGGCCTTCATA